AAAAGTGATTGGGCAGCTTTGTTGGCTCAAGGTTGTGATTATCAACAGTCCTGCAGCAGCTCTGCCAGGCTGGATTATAGTGTTTGAGGTAGGAAGGAGCTGATGTGCAGCCAGCTGTTTGTTCATTGTTATGGAAAAAACATAAATGACTAGTTGAGTAAAAGCTTGTGATGTTAGACTAACTGATGTTTATTTCAATTATTACATCAAATTACACACACAAAGCACGCTGGTTTAAATCCTGTAATTATAGTCTGGTGATGAAATAAAAAAATTGCTTATTTTAGGATATTTTACTTTTTAAGTCATCATGAAATAACGATATTGTAGTTGATAAATGATGGTGCATTGATAGTTTATATAACGGACAAAGCTTCTGGGTCTGTGAAGTGTATTAAACCTGCAGTCTATGTAACGGCCAGCAGGGGGCAGCTCCACTGGCTGCAATAACAACCGATAGTATTGAGTCTTATAGAGAAATAAGCCAACTTCTCAGTTGATTGATGAGCTCAGTAAACAGTTTCCTAATGAGTTTCTGGTCTCACTCTCTAGTTTCAGTCTTCTTTTATACAGCATGATGTTCATTTAGTAACTGATGGTCCCATTTAGAGTAAAATAGACCATAAAGCAGGGTATGCTTTAAGGTGGGGCTACCTTGTGATTGACAGCTCAAACTAGGCAGTGCTGATCAGATATGGATCCAGATTCTGTTATTGCGTTGACTATTTCTCTCCTCAGATCTGTTCAAACACATTTTACTGTTTTAGCTATAATACAAGAATGTGTGTGACCAGACGAGCCGCCATTGTTTCCGAAACTGCGAAGCCAATGAGAGCAGCTCAACTCACAGTATGTCAAATAAACTCGAAGCTTCATAGCGTTACTCCACAAACCGATGGCATCACGATAAGTTCACAGTTGGTTTGGTGTTACAATGTTGTTGTGCTTCAGTGAGATCGGAGGATGATGAAAATGTAATTTTAAAAATGTGAAATGAGCTGTAGGTGCTTTGAACTTGGTGTAAAATACAGAAAAAACTAAAAAAAATTGGCAGAGCAGTGTAACAGACAAATGGACTTAGGGAGGGAGCTCATTAATGGAAACTTGACAGTTTTATTGTTGAATGGTTCGCAGTCAGACAGAAAGGCAGAACAAGTGAAATTATACACTTCTTTTCATTGTCTTCCTTCAGTGATTACAATTCAATTTCCATCTGGAGAAAACCATGTGATACAGTTTCTTTTTTTTAATCAGAAATCTTGCATGACTGTTCCGCCCTCATGAAATTCATGGAATCCCTCATGCAAGAAAATATAAATAGACATTTTCCTGACTATGTGCTTAGTACTTCAGATTTCAGAAGAAGCTCATGTTTTATGCACATTTTGTAGCAGCTGGTTAAACTTCAGAGACCTTTGTGCTGTCCATTATAGGGTATAATGGACTGTATGAGTGGGCTTTTTACTGTACATACAGATATAAAGTCAGATATAAGTCCTTCTAGATATATTACTTATTTTACAGCATTGTTACCTGTTGCTAAAGTGTGTTGAAGTACAATATTCAGTATGTTGATACTACAGATGTAATGTAGATGCTGTGGTAGCAAACTGTCAATCACAAGGTAGCCCCACCCTGAAGCATACCCTGCTTTATGGTCTCTTTTACTCTAAATGGGACCATCAGTTACTAAATGAACATCATGCTTTATGGAAGAAGACTGAAACTAGAGATTGAGACCATAAACTCATCAGGAAACTGTTTACTGAGCTCATAAATCAACTGAGAAGTCGACTCATTTTCACAAAAGGCTAATTGAAATTGGACTTCTTTATGCAACTAATGAAGTCACCCCCTGCTGGCCATTACAGAGAATCCAGGTCTTTCTTCAAACATGCTGGCATTTATTAAAGGAATCAATAAGCTCGGAGGCATATGAACAGTTCTTGATTCCTATCCCTATCAATTAGTCTGTAAAATGTCAGAAAACTGTTAGAATTTCCTTCAGTCAGGTTAATATCTTGAGATATATCGCAACACATTTGAGAATGCTTAATTTTCTGTTGATCCATTCATCGACTAATTGTTGAAGCTCTAAATTTTTAAGCTTTGTTGTTGATGTTTTTCTACGGCTGCCAGTTATTTATGATGATAATTTGATTATATAAATTACATATTTGAACAGCAGCCTGTTAAATTGTAACAGAAACAGCTGTAATGATTGTGAATGTGTCAGAACAACCAGCAAGGAGACTGAACATTTAGTTCATTTGTTCCAACACAGTGCAACATCACACAGTCTGGTTGTTCAACACACGGAATAAATAACTTCCAAATTCACTGTAACAAATCCTGGCGGACTGATCGTTACGATGGATGATGGATAACGTTAACAGTTACTGACTAATTAACTGGCTACAAACTGGCTCCATTTCCTCCGTTTCATTCCTCTGAACCCGCCGGGTCTTCAACCCCAGAGTCAGAGTCCTGGTCGGAGCCACTGGAGATCTCCGTTGGTCCGCCCCACTTCAGTTTTGAAGATTATGACACTCATGTGTTTTAAACTCAGAGACACTTTTCAAATCCGGAGCCGGACACAGATTACAGCACTGGACGTGAATAACAATAGTGGTGGACAGCAGTGTCACAATGCTACTTAATGAAATAATCACCTCTTCTGTCAGATGAGATTACCACAACCAGAACATCTCACTGCATTAATAACTGTGATATTATAATTGAGTCAGTAAACTCCCTCTGATGTATCTCTCAGTATTCAGACAGCACCTTTTCCTTCAGGACTTACAGACGATTATTTGGTGTTTGATGCTACGCTTATGCATTAGAAATAATTTTTCATCAGTCAAATAAAACACAAGATGAATGGAGGAGAGATTTCTGCCTTTAATCTGTTAAATGTAAAAACTTTTATCCTTTAATCCTCTGTAAGGTCTGTTTTGTATGGACGATTCTAGCAGTGGAAACAGTACTTACAAGAATTTGAACATTGCTAAGAACCCTCTTTGAAACGTCGTTATTCTATTTCCATATTTGATTCAGTATTATCAGACCTCTCAGACATTTCTCTCATTTTTCCTGCTCTCTTAGAGACCGTGTCATTGTGAAAATCAATTTCATTCACACTTCAGTCACGAAAATACATCACATATTCACCCTATGCTCCATGAATAGTATGAATCAATTCATTGTAGAAATGTAATTGTGACGACTCTTATCCACCGTCTGCCGGTAACCGCTGTAACCGAAGTCACTTAAACGTGACAACTGCGGCGAACGTCTTATGAATGATCAGGGGGAAGAGAGCGAGGGAGGAGGCCCACAGAGAGATCCTGTGGGAAGATTTATTGACCGTTACTGTGAAAAATAAAACACCGGTGTTGTGCCAAGCTCGCTTTCCCTCTTTTCACCTGTCCTCTGCAGCAAATCTGAGAGAAAATAGAAGCACAAAAAGAGAATATTTACCCATGTTTGAATTTCTCTCCTCCACTCTGTTCTGTTTGTTATTCTCTCCTCTCTCCATGTTTTATTTCTCCTGTGCATATACGCCCTGGCATGCTCTTTCCTTAACCTCTCTCCGCTCTCTTCCTCTTCTCTTCTTCACGGTTCACTAAACGCAAACTTTTATAATTCCCCATTGCTGCATTCTTTTCTCCTCAGTAGCTTGATTCTTGTGCGGGTTTGAAGGCAGAAGGTGTGCAGCGTCTGGCTGACAAGCGCACTCCGAGACCATAAATCTCCAAACATATGAAAGGCAGCACACATAATCTGTCAGGCTGTTTGCAGCGTTAAGAGACGTGTGTGGGTGCTTGTGTACGGTTGCTGCCTTTTAAAAGACTCTTATTAAAAACCTTATTAATGTGGAAGGAGCAAATCCCCAAGAGATAATTCGGTGCAACAGATTGTAAGTGTGCATGCATGTGTGTCTCGTCCGTAATGTTTACGTCTTTCGACACTATTATTAGTGTTTCCTACATGTTTGCGTACACATGCATGGCTGAGTGTCATGCCTGCATGCTCTTAGCTTGTTGTAGCCTCCAGAAATCAAACGGCGCCCATATAGCGTTTGCAAGGACTAGGCAAAGACCACAGATGCAGAAGGCAATCGGAGCTGGCTTCACATAGCACTGTGGGAGCTCATTACTGTATTCTTTGGGCTGGAAAATGTCTGTCAGTGAGGATTCATTAAAAGCCAACCTGCTGCAGCAAGCTCCTGGTAGCACTGTAATGAGAGGTCCTTCACAATTTGGGCTCCCCGGTGGTTCAAATTGGACAGGTGAAATATCGGTGGTAATCTGCATTACGGATAGAGGCTGCGGCCATTGAGTTTGGCTTTGTTGTGGTCATTAGCATTGCAATGCTCGTGTTCGCTCAGTTCTTTACGGAACAGTTGAAACCAGTCGTCTGCTCGAGGCCGGAGCTCTTTCTGGTAGAATAACATCCATTCATTTTATCTTTCTTCACAAACAGTTCGGCAACTGCTGCTTGGCCAGTTTTCTATCACCGTGTCTCCACTCTCCTCTTCTGAAATTTCAATTGAAGCATTGTTCAGTAGTTTCTCGTGCGTCATTATTAATGCAGGTGGACTATTCTGAGGGCAGCCTGGGCGTATTTAGACTCTAATGTTGGTTGGAGTCGGTTTGTTTAACCTGGCTCACCGTGCTGCTCTGGCTCTAATTTTATCTTCAGGATTCAGCTTCCTCTTTGTCGAGCCTCTGTTGGTAGAGGAAGATGTGACGGCTGCTTTGTCTGAGGTAAACTGTTTATTTGTCTGTGCCTGTGTGCTAAAAGCTTTCTTTTCCAGCCGCTGTTTTGTGTCTTTGCATTGATTTCCCGAGGCCATTTTGCTTTGCTTTTGTTTGTGTGTTCCACATTTTTTGGTGTCAACTCATTGATTACCGTGTTGCCGCTGCAGCAGAAAGAAACGTCTCAGCATCAACTCTTCTTTTCTCTCTCCCAACTTCTTATCTTGTGTCTTGCAGACTCGCACGCCACGTGTGACACGACTCAGCCCAACACAGCCGGCTCTTGCTGACCAGGCCAGCAGGGTGTCCTTTGCGTCAGCTGAAAATCTGGAGACCATGTCAGAGCCGGATATACCCATCGGCTTTAACCGGATGAACCGGCTCCGCCAGAGCCTGCCGCTAGCTCGCTCGTCCAGCCAGGCCAAGCTGCGGGCGCCAGGTCAGACCACTTTAAGAAAAAAATCCAAACTGTTGTCTTGACTTTGACATTTTTTTGTGATCAACTTGTTCTTTTGCTTCAGATATAAACCAAAAACACAATAAAAACAAAGGTAAACCTAGTGGCGACCTCCCCACTCCATCCCATGTACTCATAGGTCTCCGTTAATATTTGCAGGACACAAGGATCCAAAATTTAGCAATGAATGGACACGGGGATTACTTTAATTCCTTGACTTTATCTGCCATCGCTTACCATGCTGGGTCCCAGCTCCAGCACCAATATATGTGTTAATCCATTCAGGTTCTAATGTGGAGGTTTCCAACTTAAAGCCAGCATATTCTTGGCAGCAGTGATTGGAGAATACGTTCATTTTAATGAGGCGGTATCATTTAAGAGTAGCACAGCACGATACATGGCACAGCTACATCCAGCACATTGGATACATGGTATGATACAGTTGGCTGGAAAGCGTTGTCATTGTTGCATGTTTGCATGCTGATGTTAGTATTTAGCTCAAAGCACTGCTGTGCTCACAGAGCCGCTAGCACCCCTCCAGACCACAACATGCTGTTGGCCTGAAAAATTATGATGATTTTATTTCTTTCTAAACTACCCCTTTATGTACACATAAAATAAAAACAATACTATTAGCAAGAGTTAAAGGTGCCTGCAAACAGTTCTGGGTTCATTTGTTCAGTAGATGTTAATGGAATTTATTTTCTGAACGCACTTCCTCTGCCGACACTCACTCACGTGCAGATCAGAGGCTCCTTATATAACAGACTACATGTCCCATTTTACCTGTAAGACAGTAGAGGAAATAAAGGTTTGACACCGTTTCCTGGATCGCTCTGATCTATCCTCCTGTTTCATCACTCGTCTCCATTTCCATGACAGTTAGATCATTTTGAGACAAGGCCGAGTTTATAAAAGCTGCCATGTTGTTTTCCTGTGTTGCTCTGATTGTAGTGACGCCGGGAGACAAAAGGCCAAAGATCCGACTGATATCATTCAGTGCTGATGATTCAATTCAGCCCCAGTAAAGTGCACCGCTCACGTTAACGTACCCTCGTTTTCACTGTCCTGTGTCAGCCTTGATGAGTGTGGGTGTGTCCACTCTACTGACAGCATTGCTCTGATTGACAGGTCGCCAGCCAATCACACACTGGATGTGTCCATGCATGTAAACTATTAATCTTACTTGATGGTTATGACAAGCAGTAGCAAACAAGACTCATTAGTTGTGACTATAGGGCAGCGTCCTCTTACAGGGAGTCACTTATTTGAGCTGACTGCAGGCATCAAGCATTAGTAAACCAGATACAGCCCTCTGAGTGTGGAGTCAGAGTCAGACTTCGGTCCGCTGCCTATAGGAACTCTGAATATAAACAGAGCTGTCTGATGCTACCGAACGATCTCGACAAGCTACCTGTCGTCTTTGATTAATGGCTCGAGCAAGAAGCAAAATCATCTGCTTCTTTAAAGCGTCTCGCATATGAAGAGGAGGGTGATGCATTTGCAGGAGTTAGAAAACGTGGGACAAAGTGCAACTGATGATTGATTGTAATTCTTGACCTCTGTTAAAGCCACTGGAGACCTAGATCCACAATAGCCTTCTAACTGTGTAATCAAGATCTTATGTAGCTAATAATAAGTATCTACACACGGTAGCTCACCGGGTAGTGCGTACTCTGAGTCCTTGCTGCTGCGGGTTCAATTAGCTTAATCATCTTGTTCAGTCATTGTAATACACACTTCATTCAAACTCAGACTCACCATAAACCGCCTTTATAACATCGCATCTGCCTCGTCATTTGGCTCCATGATCCTCGTATCTTCGAATGTTACCTGCTGTATGTTGTTTACTTGTGTATTTTGTCCTTAAAAAGGAAACAAAACGATGTGTTTCTCTGCCTAAAATCTCCTCTAACCTGCCTCTGACTGAAAAAATTGAACAGATTCTCTATGCCGTTTCTCTGTTTGACTTCCTGTGAATGTGATCTGTTCTCCACTGCTTGGCGCGAGTAGGTCGCAGCTTCCGTCTAAAAAAAGAGAATTTAAAAGCATTGCCTAGAACAGGCGTTATCAGCTCCAGCGAACAGGACGCTTAAATCCGAGAGTTACAGTTGATAATATATTTAATGTGCAAAACTGCAACCTTCAGTCAGTTTATGGTAATTTACACTGAAATGCATCATGTAAACAAATAGCTTTTTTCCACAGAGGTTTTAAAGGTTCTATAACACGTCTATCGCAGTTAATTTTCCCTTTCTGCACTTTTCACTTTGCTAGAGCAGCATCCAGGTGGGTGATAATTATGTGTCATTTCATGGAGCTTTATTTGTTCATGTGTGATCATTGCACAGAGGAGAATGGATGTTCAAAGTGACCGTAGAAGAGATGCTGTTAGCAGACATAACAGGAAAATATTTCACTTCGTATACTAATGTTTGAAAATGTAGATCAATCTGTGCACCTCTATTTCGCTTTAGTGAGACAATGTCGGATACGGATGAGGCTATAAATTATATGTACAATCACTTTTTTTATACTATGAATTGATCCAGTCTATAGTGTGTATGTCTGTGTTGGTTATTTGACTTTTTCCAGAGAAAATCTGTGAAAAATCTTGTACTCGATGCCCCCGAACTACAAGGCAACGTCACATTCTTCCGCTCTCACACATCGGTAGCGAGTGAAGCCATTACGCACCAGGTGTGGTCATTAAAACAAGCTTTATGTATGTGTTAGCATGGTTCTGTGATTTCTGAATGACCGCCAGATATATTTAGCATTAACACAGCTGAAATGTGTTAGAGTAGCAGTCGGGGCAAAGACTGGATTTCCACAGAGCTGTGAGGAGGCGGCGGGGGGTGTCAGTTGTTGTGGGATCACCGCGGGGTCAGGAGGTGGTGGGATGCTGTATGGGGTCAAAAACCCTAATATTGTTAGGTGAATATTGTCCCTCCACTCTCTGTCTTCATCCCTGACTCTAAAACTTCATCACCTCCCCCTCCTCACCCCTTTAACCATCGTGGATCTCCCTCATTGCTCCTCCCCATCCATAAATGCAGGGATCTTGTTCCTCCAGCTTGGGGAGGAGACTCGCAGGGTGCACCTGACCCACGAGCTGACCAGCCTGGATACTCTGAGGGCCCTCATCGTGCACATGTTCCCCCAGAGGCTCACCATGGCCATGCTCAGGTACGCCCAGTGTGTGTGTGTGTGTGTGTGTGTGTGTGTGTGTGTGTGAATATATGCTATTGAACCGTCTACAGGCTCATTGATTGGCCTACATCTTATCAAATAATGTGAGCTGTGTAAGTGACACATTGCAATTTCATCCGCAGACACAGGAATAAAAATAATAGGTTCTGTAAATAGGTGGAGAATGAAAGCGGGACAGAGTGAGACAAACAGATAGAAATCAATAAAACAAAGGAGGTGTGAAACAGAGGCTTTCAGGCCACAAGTGGACATGAATAAAGTCTCATCTTTAGAGTCGGAGCTTAAAAATCATGTTGAAATGAAAAGTCAGACTGGAATTCTTCTTACTGTTTGTGTAAAGACATATGTACTGCAATAATAATATTCATAATATTAATGATAATAATAATAATAATAAAACATCTTTTGGATGAATACAGTATTTTTGGCACATTGTGGAAACACGAGAGCTTCGGGGCCTCTGAGTGGGTGGTTCTTGTTGTCTGTAGTGTGTTACTAACTGGAGCTTTTCACAACTCTGCCCACGACTATTGATACCGTAAAACTTCAATTAATAGCCCGGGCTTTTATTTGCTTCAGTCACTGAACTCAACCTACCTTATTGGGAACAGGCCTTTAATTCCTTTCGCACAAAAGACAGGAAATACTATCAAACTGTGTATTTAAACCAGTATGAAGGTTACTTGTATGAGAATGAGTCTATTGAAAAACACATCAGTTACTAATCATTGATTCCACTTGTGAAGTTGGAGCTAACAGGCTAGGTTGACTAGTAGTTGGCCTAGTTTATTAGCATTAGCACTGGTTATGTTGCACTTTGTTATTTCAACACCTGCTGAGTGAACTCATGAACATACCAAGATGTTTTTATTAATACGCTGTAGAAATGTTACAAATACTCTATTGGAACCCAGACTTGATGCCACACTGTGTTGTAAGTTTGTGTGCAGGACAAAAACTTTTCCCATTTTTCCAAAAGAAGTCGGTATTAAATGACTTTCATCAGGCTGTTAGTTACCGATTATCTGCCCGGCGATACATACAGTTCACATTGATATTGTCAGCGGGACTCTCTTAACTCCAAACTCTGATGAGTTCTGCGTCCAGTTGATTCTCTCATTACAGGCTCCTCATGCAGCTAAAGATCCCCCCCCACCCCCACCCTCAGTCTGTAAATGAATGTACATCCCTGATTATTAGCGGGTAATAGGTGCTGAAATTGTCTTTGCATGGGCTATTTATCAGCGTTTAGATCTTTTTTGTTTTTCTTTTGATGACTATTGATGTTCAGGTCTCCCAGCACGGCTCTGCTGATCAAAGATGAGACCCGTAACGTCTTCTATGAGCTGGAGGACCCGCGGGACGTCCAGGACCGCTGCGTAATTAAGATTTACTGCAAAGAGCCCATCTACGGCACCTACCCCGGACACCACAACCCACACCTGGCCAACGGAGACCTGCGGGTAAGTGTCTGTGCTTGTGTGTCCGTTTGTTGCCTCGTCTTCGTGTGGGTGCAGACCCTAATTCGAGGAATTTACAAGATGCAGGAAAATCTAATCACAGCTCCGAAGAGAAGAGAAACACTATTTCTGTTGAAGTGTAAGGAAGTTTTATTGTTTTTCTGCCAAAAGGATCCCAGTTCAGGAGGCTGCAACAGACTCGAACCTCATGAAATGCGGCTCAAACTTTAATTGTGGTTGAAATGTACGGATTATATGGGTCTGTCACATGTGGGTGGTAAAATGGCTCGGCAGCGGCCCCTAAACTCGGCCCCTGAGGCAAGTTTTGCCAATTTGTATGAAAATCATGTGTATCATGAGCGAACAAACAAAAAGCCTTTTGGAGCCATATCCCAAATCCAACAGGAAGTTGACCATTTTGTGGTCATTTTTGGTGATTTGCATGCTCTATATTTTAACAAACTCCTCCTAGAGACTTGATCGGATCGACTTCAGATTTGGGCAGTGCAGTCTAAAGACCTTCACGATGAAAAGTTGTTCTCTTTGTGACTGTGCATCGAACGCTGTTTCCGTGGCTGGGCGTTGAATTCGGACATATCGCCATGAAACAAGAAGTTGTCCTTACTTCAACCTACTTTGTCCAATCTCCAGCAAACCTCACGTCTGATAAGAGTCCCGCCCTGAACGCATCTACATGCCAATAATCAGTTTTAGTAGTAGCGTCACCTACTGGAAACAGGAAGTAAGGCTTGTGTGGCAGTTAATTTGACTTCCATGAAATATTCACGGTGCTGGCGTGCGTGGACTGCGAGGGACAGTTCGTCACTGCTCTCAGCTCTAATATTGTGTTTGTGACTTTTCATCTCTGTTAGTTTTGTATTATTTCGGTGCCAAAGTGTAAAGTGATGCCAAGAAAATGATCCTGCTTTAGTCAGAGTCACCTTTTCCTTCATTACCAATTCATCCAGTGTGCAGCGAGCTTATGACTCATAGATTAGAGAGTGAGACAAACACTTGTCTCTTTCTGACAGTGGCAGATAGCAGCCAACCAAATCACGCTGCAAATAATACATTTTGTAATTCCCCTTGAAAACTGTTATTTATTCACCCCCACGCCCGCACCCGTCTCCCACGTTACACTGATATTATTTCTGTGTGTTTACAAACACTAGTTAGCATTACATAACGTGTCCGAGCATAAGTTGGTCTCATGCACTCTCTGAAAGGCTATGAATCATGTGACCTTACTCCAGCACTACTGTTCCTGGACCAGTGCCAGTCCTTTGCATCACTGATGCTGACTAGGCTGGATGCAGGCTGACTGTAAAACAGCATCAACACTATTCAGAGTTGACAGATCGGGTCCAGTTCATCTGAGGACTGGGTCACGGATGCAGAGTCACAGTGTGATTGTTGTAGTAGAAGTATTGGCAAATGGAAAATGGACTGCACTTACCCAGGTACACTGCTTCTGACCCGAGAGCAGAACAAAACACTCCACAATTACTCACCTGCACACACACACACAGCGATGGCAGTGGAAGTGCAGCTCAAGGCGCAGTTTGGGCTTCAGCGTTCTGTTAAGTCTGTTTGATTGTTAAAAAATATAAAAAAATACATAATACAGAGAATTGTATAAAAAAAAGCTAAAATTCTCAGGAAAGCTCGTCTCTGATCAATATTCACACACTTCCTGCAGTTATGGTAAAATACAAGACTCCAATAATGGCGTCAGTAAATCAGTAAATGTCTCTATGAGCTCTTTACGTCACCAGAGGAGATAAATACACACACATTGTTCAGTAAAGTGCTGCACGACCTGCTGTCAGTCTCTGGAGTTTTATTTCCTGAAGGTGGGTCAGTGTGGCGCCGATGATGTCACAGAAATGGACCAATCAATCAGTAGCCTGTCGGTCTGTGTGACATCATGAAATGGGCCTGGAAAACCCTTGAAAAATACCTGAATTTGATGTTTAAACTCACTGGTTGGTCCACACCAATATGAATACCCCTGAGTATTATCAATACTGTTGACTATTACTTGTCTGTAGATCAACGTATTGATTAATTAACTCGGGTTATTAGCCCTGTGAAGCACTCGTGGATGTGTTAATGACTTTAAGTAGTTATTTTTTATTCTCCTCCATTATCTTCGTAGCATTCTCAGTACCTGTAACATCGCTCCTGTTCGGTAGATGCCCTCTTATTGATGAGTCACAGCAGGATTTATCTTAATTCATCAGTCGGCTGCTGGCGGAGTAAATGTGGCAGCAGCCTGATTAGCGTGATTACTAATGCTATATGCATTTTGTTGCAGCTGGAGCGAAATAAAGCGTTTCCACCCAGCACACAGAGTGCCTGGTGTCATTCAGTTTTGCAATGTTAGTGATTTTCTGTACAAGACCTTACATTTTGTCGCCATCTAATTACACTATGATTATGGAAATGAGAAAGCGGTTAGAGAATGCTGCTTTTATGGAATAAAATAAATTATAAACCTGATAAAGTACATTACGGAGGAGCAGACGTATGCGGTGCGCACACTGTGACAATCTGCATGTTGATGTGAGCGCCGTCGACAGCGGGGCATTTCTGACACATTTGTCGTTTTGGTTGCCGTCAATCAAACACCCTGGGGCCTTTTGTTTACATGGATCGTATTTGTGTGTGTGTGTGTGTGTGTGTGTGTGATTGCTTTCCAGGCTGCCGGCGTGCGTGATTCGCGGCCGCCCGCTAACGTTTTGGAGGTCAGCCGTTCGTCTCTCTCTCGGGATCGGTCGGCGTCTTCGGATTGCGCCACAGCTCTGAAGCATTTTACAGCCTTATCAAACCCGCAGGCTTACTTTGAGTTTTATGTGTGTGAGGTTCATTCTGCCAGTGCCAAGGTGACTGACTAGGATGTGTGTGTCTGTGTGTGTCTGTGTGTGTGTGTGTGTGTGTGTGTGTGTGTGTGATAGAGAGCTTATTGAACCCCAGCCAGCAGAGCCAAGATTATTCCCTGATTGCAGACCACAAAAGCATGACCAGGATTACTGAAGTCCATCCGAGCCGGGGACAGAGTGTGGTTACGGATGAGATTGATTGGCAGATTTTTCCTCAGCTGGGGGGAAAGGCCGGTTTCAAATGGCGCCGCGGGACAAACCTTTTTTCCGGGGGGAGAGCACCTGCGATAGACGTCTCGTGACTTCAGGGGGTCTCGGAGGTGGAATGAAATGTCTGTATGTCTTCAGCACGGCTAGAGGATGGTGTCGATACGAGGCTGTTGCTAAGATACAAGATGGAAGATGATGGCACTGGAGTCATTAGTCTGCTGCGAGGCTGTCCGCAGGGTGTTGTTGTAAGAGGCCTATGGGTTATTATGTAGTAATATTGGTTTTTCAATTTGCATCGTCTCCAGGAGAAAGCTTTGTGCGTCATAAGCAATTACAGTGTTGTCTTCTTTTGTTGTTTCCTTTGCTGTATCTATTACTCTTGGCTGGTACCCTCTGACGCAGGGCTTTCACTTCCACTCCGCTCAGCTCCGCTTTGTTTTGCCTTCTCTTGCTGACATTTTGGGATTGATGCCAAAAGATAATCCTTTCGTGCTCAGTCCGTCAATAGGTTATCAAGTGCAACTTAGAACGCACTTAAGGGGGCAATTTGGAGTCTTTCCTGTCAATCTCGAAGGAGCCATCTATGAATTGCAGTGAAATGTTACAGTAAACTGCACTGGCTCTTGCAGTGTATAGATTTCTTTTAATGACTAGTTGCAGTTTCTTACTTTCCCGATAGCTTGTTTGCAGTCACAGGATTCAGATGAGATTCAGGCCTGAAGACAGGCCACTAAAATATGGGAAAAATACTGAAATAACTGGAAATTATTCTTACTCCCTTTAAAAACAGCGTTGCTTTGCATTAGCTTGAATTTGGTGTTTCAACACGTTCATTCAGATCCAAACTAATGTTGGTTGCTGCGGACCGAGACAGCGGTTGACCAGAAAATCCTGTGTTCTGTAAGGTAGAATCCCTGTTTTTGTCAAAGGAGTCTGGTTCCTTGAAGAGAGTATAGATGGATATAAACGTCGGAAAGGACTGTCTGATTAACGTAAAGTGGTGAAAATATTCTAAATATAGCGAATACTTAAACTGATACAGATTTTGCTCCACAGATTTACTCGGGAGATGTTTTTTTCAGCGTTTCTCGTTAATTTCTTGCGTTTTTCCTTCTTACGAACAACAACTTTTGGTACTCACTAAAAGCTCCTCATTGTGAGAGTTTGTGATACCGCTTCCAATGTAGAAAATCACTTCTCCATCTGCAGTCCACAGGAACGTGATGTGACGTCATGTTAAATTCAAGGGTAAATGTACAATGTCATCAGGGCTCATATATACTGTACTCTCAGAATCACTCCTGCACGAGGAATCACACTGAGTTATGTATTATTTATGGTCTATATGATGGGGAGACATACAGTAAACACAGTTTGAAAACAGCTATCCGATGAGTATCAGTTTCATAGTATTTATAGCGGATGCTTATTTGCAACACCCGTCACTAGAGAGGCTTTTATGAAGATGAGAAGTTGAGACAGTAAGACATAAAACACACATCGAAAACGAAGACTAAAAACAGTCTTACCTCAAAGCAGGACTTCAAAGATGCTTCCTACACTTTCAGCAAGGAGAAGCGTGACGTCGCTCTCGGCTGCAAAGTAGGAATAATGATGAAGGGAACCCCAGGATTTCTTACTGCAGCGGCCCAGGTTCGAATCTGTGGCCCTTTGGTGCATCTCATCCCCCCTTTGTTGTCAAATTTTGGCTGTAATAACAAAGTTTTAGAGTTTTTCTGACGGTGGCAGTTTGAAATATTAAGATATAAGATAACGAGCAAACAGCAACACCTTTATGTTTAGGCTTCATGTGTATGTACATGTAATAAAGCTGACTAAGCTATCTAGGTTACAGTTCAGTTACTGTCTTAAACACAGAATAGAAGATAATTGGACTCCAATCACATTGTTTAACAGTGCCTATAGTATTATCGCCACACTTTGCTTGTATATTATTAATAGTTAATGCACACACAGAAACTCTGTGGGGCCGTGGACACTTAACCCATCAATAACTGTCCAATTTCCAGTTCAACTACACTTTCTGTTAACTTGTGTGCCCTCCCGGGGTTGGTGGAAATTAATTATCTAGCTGGTTGTAGATAAATGGGAGCTGTAAGAGCGAGTTTGATTTATTACTGCCAAAATTCTTGGCTGTAACGGACCCAAATCATCACTGTTTCAAATCTCCATTTTCCCTGTTAAAAAGATTTTATAATAAGCTCATTATCATCAATAAAAATCTCTCCTCCAACTGAATGTGGAGGGAAAAAAATAAAGTTAATAAAATGATTTTACTCTTGGGCTTAAAAGTACGACCGAAAATAATTCAATCTGAAATTAAAAATGTCATTTTAACCCTTTAAGATCACATCCTCAGTTATATTGTTCCCATATTTCACAATTTATGCCCAAAAAACCTCAGTTTATTTGTATTTTTATATCAAAATCCAATAATTTTGTCTTCCTGTAAAACAAAATGTGACACATGCTTACGTAAGAATTATTTAACCGGTTTCAATCTTCAACTTTTAGCGACACAGAGCGAAGATTCATCAGTTAGCTGGCTAACAAACAGCAGGCTAGTTTGTGTAGCACTTTAAGATTGATTTCCTACTCTGAGAAATCTGTTGTTCTTCCATCCGTTCACAGAGGGAGATGGTCTACGCACCTCAGGACTCTCCACCTAACCGCCGCCTCAGCAACCCGCCGATGTCTTCCCAGCATTCATCATCCTCTGCCTCCCCTCAAGGCTCGCCGTCTCGCGCCCGCCTCCTCTACAGCGGCGGCAGGCCTTCTTCCTACGCGGGGCCGCCCCACCACACCCACTCCCTGCCGCACCCACACCCACACCCACACCCGCACTCCCAGTCCCACCACTCCTCTCCCCACCAGCAACCACAGCTCCACCAGCCCCACCACAGCCAGCAGGCCTTCTGTGCCTCCTCCAGCGCCATACTGGAGCGCAGGGACGTGAAGCCCGATGATGAAGTGGGGGGATCCAGGAGCATGGTGCTGCTGCGGGGAGACGAGCGTGGGGGAGGGGGGATCTACGCGGATCCCTACTCTCTGGGCCCAGACACGAGTCGGCTGAGCCTCGCAGGAGGTCCTCACTCCCCTCTACCGGCCAGAGCAGACCCCTACGGCTCCTTATACCGGCGTGGAGGAGGAGGAGGAGGAGGCGGAGGAGGGGGAGGAGGAGGTGCTGGATCCATGCGCTCACTCACCTCCTATACAGCAGCTGCGTTACAAGGAGAGCTGATGGAAAGCGGCGCTCTCTACAGACCAGGAGGACCGCTTTATAACGACGCCTACGCTGCGTCGATGTTGGCCATGGGGCTGCGGGTGCCGCCACCGTCCTCCCCGCAGAAGATACCCGACATGAGGGATTCCTACGCGGGCACCATGCCCAGTCGGGGCTCCCCCGGGAGGCAGAGTTTGCGAAGGGACTCTGTGACCTCTTCTGTGTTTGGGGACAGTCCCAAAGCTCGGGGCCAGGGTTCGGGGTTAGGTCTCACCTCAGAGCAGCTCTGCTTGATGGCCGGACCTGGAGGGGAGGGAGGCGGCACCGGAGGCTTCGGCTCGCCCCTGCTGGGAAATGAAACAGAGACCAGGTAGGACGGCCTCACCGCAGTATGCATGCTGTTCTACACGAGTACCACTGTGATACACATATTTTATTTATATGTATGGTCACAATTTACTGACTTTATGATCTATACTGCAGCCCGCCACCAGGGGGCAATGGTATGGCTTCACTTTTAGACAGCTGTCCTGTCGTCCATCTTTAATATATGTCGATGGGTCCAACTGAAAACAAACTTTATCGCTCATACTGATGTGAGACGGACATTAGTACGTCTGTTGACAGTTTCCTCGCCAAATAGGTGGAGCTGGTTGCTACTCGTCGGGCCCCACTAGGGGTCGCCAAAGCTTCACAGGGGGTCGAGAACCCTTCTTGATTTTAAGGCATGATAGAAAACTTAAAAACATACGCAGCAGGCCTATAACTTAATGTTTTATTCATTTCTGTGAAGAAAAGTACATTAAAAATTATTTTTTTAATAACACAAACTCAATTTTGTAAGTTAAAAAAACTTTAAACAAATTGATTTTGTGTAACTTAAATCTTTTTACGTAAACCGCCGCAAGATTTAAGTTAAAATAACTTCTCGTATTACAGTTTATTATTTAATATCGAAACTTTGATGACCTGAACACAGGCTGTATTAGAACAATCAGGGAGAAGAAAACACTGAATTGGTCAAAAAAAAGCCTATTAAGGATGTTTAATTGTTAAAAATAAAAATAAAAACATAATAGAGATAAAGGATTGCATAAAAAGTTCCTAAAAATAATCGAAAGAAATCTTGGCAATATCATTAAAATACACTGATTTCTGTATAAAAGCTGGTGCTACTGCTCTCTCGTACTACGTACCAGTAATGCTCAATGTTTAAAAGCTGTTATTAAAATAAGTGATTATCATCCATGAACTGTTTTATCAATACAACCATCCATCATAAAGCAAAATTATACAGCGCCACACTTACTTCCACCTACGAATGAGCTTTAAAAGGAGAGCACAGAGAGGGAGCGCTGGGACGGTTTTAAAGTATTCACTATACAAATACATCAGTGATCTGTTACAGTGCTCTGTGTATCTTTGGTGTGTGGATGCAGGGAGCGTATGGAGGCCATGGAGAAGCAGATAGCGAGTCTGACCGGGCTGCTGCAGAGAGTTCTGAGCAGAGCGCCGGAGGCCGAAAGCCCGTAAGACACACACACACACACACACACACACACACACACACACACATTAATACTGCATGTGAAAACACTCTCCACGTCGAGGCGAACGTGTCCATAACACATTTGCCTCGACAGAAATGAGGGTTGTATTTCCACCCAGTGCACCAAACGCCTTATACAACATTTGCTGTATAAACTGCTCTCAAAACTCAGAAAATAAGGAAAAATACATGAAGTAAAAGTTTATTTGAAGTTTCTGACAACATTATAGAAAGGACCCTAAAGAGATAGACCTTGTTGTTAGAGTAAAATCCTTTTTGTGTAACTACAAACAGCCGTTCAAAGCCACCAGACTAATTTTACCTCGCACACAACCCTGGAGCTGCTGGTCAAATGCAATCCGTTGGTTTGTTTGTGTTATTGTGGAATGTTGAGCAGTCTGAAAGGATTAGTTTGGATCTGAACTAACGTGTTGACCACTAACTCCCGAGTTCTGCGAGGTAAAAAGGATCACATTTTGCCGTTCGCAAAATGCCCAAAAACTCATGACAAACTCAGCGGACAAAACTATAGAGATTATATTGGTCCAACACACGGACGTCACAAAATGGCTTAACCACGCCACCCATAATCAGCCCCCAAGACACGTACGACTGATATCTATGAAGATTAGTACACACGTGTATCATAACCAGACAAGCAGACAAAGCCTGTTGCACCCAAACCCAACAGGAAGTCAGCCATTATGAATTTAAAAATAATTTGCGATGTATTTTAACAAATTCCTCCTAGATAATTGATCAGATCGACTTCAAATTTGATCTGTGGATTCTAAAGACTGTCACGATTAAAGGTCGTGCTCTTTGTGACCGTGCGTCTAATCCGTGGAGTGGCGTCGAATTTCAACGTTCCGCCATGAAACAGGAAGTTGTTGTAACTTCGGTGTACCATGGTGGCAACATAAAGTAGTGACATAACCCAGAGTGCACAACGTGATGATGTTAAAGACTGAGGCTTTAGCTTTCCGCCTCAAAGAGAAAGAATTATAGTTTTTATTTTTCATTGATTTTAATGCAAAATAACGGCCGCCTGCAGGAGGCACGTTCTTGGAGGGTTAAACAACAAAACATCTGTCAGTGATGTTGGAAACTGTTTATGATTCATGTCTGAAATCTTAATTTACTGCCCACAGTTTACTGTTGATCATGTAGGAAATCAGTGAACATCCACACACACACACACACACACACACACACACACACACACACAACACACACCAGGGGGTACATCGTGAATAAAGCTAAAGCAGCACATATATTTCCCACATTTTCCACCATATATCAATAGCTTCTCAGTAGCTAAGTCGATAGTGTGTTCTGGCTGTAAGTACTTTAACACTTGCCTCTTCCAGGGAGAAGATTGAGTCAGCCAGCGACTGCTCGGGAACTGACAGTAAGTGCTCACTACCCCAAAAAAAAATTTCCTATCACTGCCTGTCACTGCTCCCCACTGCTGCCTGTTTGATAGCCACATAAATTGGCTCTTCTTCCTCTCTTCTTCTGCTGCTATTTCATTTTCTCTGCATAATTCTTAAAGTGCCTCACATGTGATCGTAATGGCTGACTCTGCAAGCTTCTTCATACTGTGTGTGCCGGCTTTTGCTGCTGTGTAACTGGTGCTCATGCTTCTTGTTTTAGCTGGACGAACTAAAAAAAAGAAAGGTAGCTATGTGTTCCTGAAGTGTACCTGTCCCCCCCTACCCCCCTTTATCCTTTATTTGGATCCCTGTGAGCTTCCTGAAATGTGTGTGTGTGTGTGTGTGTGTTGAAGGACTTACCTCCCTCTCAGCCGTGTCCTTCACTGTCCTCTTGTTTTCTGTCTTTTTCAGTAAGAAATCATTTTGAGTTGCATTAATTCTGAAACAAAAACACAAATGTGTTGTCAAAGTTATTATTTTTATTTGCTCTGAGTGGATCATTTTCTGGTTGCCAGACATTGTCAGCGCTCTTAAAACATAATTTGCTGTGTCCACACCTCTTCCATAATGAAATATAAAACTGCTGCAGCCTCATGATGAAACTGTGTGTTTTGAAAGCTGAAAAAAGGGTTGATTGATTTCTTTTGATAGTGTTCGCTTTGAGCTGCTGTTTCTCAGAGATCTTGTGATTTAAATTAGTTTTCTCTTGTTATCTGATTGTGGAAATATTTGATCTTATGTGATATTATAGATAAGCAAGTATATTTTGAATCTGCATCAACTTAAAATTTAGTTGAATTGGACTTTTGGTAATATGTCTTGTTTGTTGAGCATTAATTTCTCCAACTGTGACTTCAGCCCCTTCCTATCTTTCTCATATTCTTATCTGTCTGCCAGAATGTCGGCCGGTAATCGTCAAATAGACTCTTATCTGACTCTCTTTGTGTAGTTAAAATCAGGACTTATTCATCTGAACTGGTGAGGCTGCAGAATATTTGGGTAGCTGTGAAGCGACTCAGAGGTGTTGCTCACTGTGCCTGTCAGACGCTGCTCTAAAGCTGTCTTGAATCTTGGTTAAAAACAAGTCACAGTGGCTTCAGATCTCCTGGCCGGAGTTTCTAGGACACACACTGCAGCTACAGTAGGAAGTCGTCACCTCGTCTGCAGAGGTGTTGGCACTGAGGTGTTACTTTCTGCAAATGTGCCGGTCTGGTGGTGTCACAGGAGCCCAAAGTTCTTTATTCGGCCTTTAAATGCAACTCTTCAACCTGTTATCGATCGATTGTCTCGTAGTTATTTTCCCTGTGTGTCGTTCTGCATGATGCGTGTGACTCAACACCCTAATTACTGTCAGAGCATATTTCATCGTCATTTCAAAGGATTATCTGAGGGCTGTCTGGGGACTTTTATAATAAGAGATTTAATGGAAACACTGTTTTTCACTACCGACCCCGTCTGTCCCCGAAGCCCTCCCATGCTGTTTGTCATTGTTAAGTCTACGTGAGACTGTAATCTCCACCTTTGACCCTCAGCACAGATAGAACTTGTCCTGAATTGCTGCTGCCAAATCCTGGAACAACCAATCTTGTGTTTCCAGTCAGTCAAATTGTTTTTCTACTGAATGGACATTTGAGGTCACAAGAGTCAAACGTTTGGGGATTTGGCTGCCAGAGATTCTCTGAATTCTTCTTCAGTTTCTCTCTTGAGCGTTCATTTAAAACCCTTTGTTGTGCTAACAGTGTTCTGGGACAACTTCTATTAGTTCTAAAAACCAAACTAAAAGAAAACAGTCCATGACTTTAAATACTGATTTTTGCTGGGCAGCTTTGACGCCATCTGCTCCCTTGGCCCTGATGCCACCTCCGCCCTCGGGGGCCAACCAGCCTGTGACAGTGTCCCGCCTGCAGATGCAGCTCCACCTACAAGGCCTGCAGCAGAACACCAATGCACTGCGCAAACAACTGTCGCAACTACGCAACATGCAGGTGTGTGTATGAGTTTATTCAGTCAGACAGTCCTGCAATAACAATCCTCTCTTAATGAAGGTTATAATGTAAAGAGGTTTTGATTTAACTTTAAAGCCATTTTGTTGCAGGTCTAAAAGGTGTTTCTAATATTTCCACAACATGGTACTGCTCGACTCTACTCGCCTTTGGTTCCTCTACTTCATTTTCCACTGTAGATAGTACTTTGGATAGTGTCCCCTCAACATAACAGTCGGGAAACAACCAGGAAACGACTGAGCTTTACTTCAGTCTTGAGAAGCGACAGCCTGACAAATTTCAACCTGCACTGTACATTTACTGCAAGATACAACTTCACTTCTCTCTTTTTCCTCTGCACTGCTCGTATTCACCGACACTCTCTCTTTCACTCATTCACACACTAACTACCCACACGAAAATGAGCTGTTACTCTTACACCAGAGAATCTGAAGCGAAGGTGTTCCTGACACGTCTGCGCTTCGTCAGTTGACCACCAGGGTTTTGCGTTCGCTATTCATGGTAGCTGGTAGTTATTTAGAAATGCATGGGGATCCATGCGATCCATCCGACTCTGAGCCCAGAAGTGGGACAACTGCCTTCAGCTACAGCCCTGATCCAAAATAGGGCTTCCCTTCCCGACATAAATCCTGAAAAGACAAACATGACTCCTTCCTGAATACGATTGGAGCTATGCACACAAAAGCAGACAGACAAAAACTCTGTCCCGGTTAGGATTAGAGTGTTTCCAAAAATCTGACTTAAATTACAGCTCCTGCCTTTGTTGCAACGTTTCGGAAGACTGCTTGTCCTTCATCAGGCAAAGGTGGACTGAGATCTGGGCTTTTCTTAGGTTCATTATTTTTGAGCACTTCTTTGGCTTATTCACTGATTTTAATTTTCCTAATATGCCAAAATTAGTTTAGGGTTAGAATAGTGAATTCTGGGTTATGATTATCCATCCCGGACTTTCACACGGCAAGTTCACTAACAGCCATCCCAAATCCAAGCCTTAGGGTTAGTCCAGGATGTCCTGTAACCAGTCAGTGGTATTCAGCGTCAGCTCAGCTTGCTTGGAACCTCGACTGACGTGGTACCAATAAAAGCACCAGGTACTACCCACAATGGAAGACTAATGGAGTATAGTGGAGTCGAGCGGTATCATGCAGCGGAAATAAGGCTTAAAATGGACGTGATGGGTCAATAAAATTAACCATGTTTCTTGGTGTCCCAGCTGGAGAACCAGGACTCGGTCTTGTCCCTGCTGAGGCAGACGGAGTCGGAGCTGAGCCTCATGATGCTGGACGCCATGCGCACACAGGAGGACCCGCTCCAGAGACAGCGCCTCCTGGTGGAGGAGGAGAGGCTCAAGTACCTCAACCAGGAGGAGCTGCTCATCCAGCAGCTGCAGTGAGTTCAGAGCACCATTGATTTATGCAGCAAGCACAATAAATAAAGGGTTCTTGGTTGGTGTCGGGGAACACACAGGGACAGCAGGACCTCACACACACTGAGAGCTGAATATCGGCCAACATCTGTCTGAAGCACTGAAAATCAAGAACTGTAAAGTACCAAAAGCTGTCTGTGAAAGTCTGGTCCATTCTGATCAGATTCTTATTTAAATCAAATATTTGCCAGTTTTTACCTATCTTAGGTAGAGAAAGTCCTTGTACAGCTGTTAGTCATTGGACAGTGTTTAATGTGAGTTCATTGAGATACAAGATAACAGAAAGAACTGTTGTGGTACCAACATTCAGGTATAGTCACTAGAATCAGGGAGGTTATCAGAGGGGGCGGCCAATCAGATTTCAGGGGTGTCGCTGGCCAAAAATCTGATTGGCCACCCTGTTATCATTACCTTTTCCACTCCACACTGTATTTCAGAAGCTGTAGCGAGCTCCGTTTTAAAGCTAGTGAAGATACCGGTATCATATGAAACCTGAAACCCAACGCATCCATCGGGGACAAATAACGCTCCAAAGGAAAAACTGGTATGGTCATTTTCAAAGGGATCCCTTAAACTGTGACCTCAAGATGTCTGAATGAAAATGGGTTCTACAGGTACATCATGAGTCTCCCCTTTGCAGACATGTCCACTTTATTCTAATCTCATGCAGTTTTAAGCATGTGGTATAAATGTGTTATTTGAATATTTGTGCATTCTGGGATCCATAAACAGTGTTGGAATTGGGAATGGAAAGCTCAGACACATACTTCATGCCACCCGCTGCATAAGTCAGTGCACCTCTTGTGCCACCTCCAGTTTAAAAAGTCTGGAAACGACTACAACTGAACAATATCAAATGATCCCCAGTCCTACATATGACAAATAGAAAGCTTGACATTTTCCTGATTAACGTTTTGTGACATTAGGTCATGTGAATGATGTGATGTGAATGTGGTCGCCCACAGTGATCTGGAGAAGTCGGTGGAGGAGCTGCAGAGGAACTCATCAGTCAACCACGGCCTGGTGACCGAGCAGGATGTGGAGCAGAAGAGCAAAGAGCTGAGGATGCTGGGAGAGACGCTCACTGAGCTCAAAAGTAAGTGTTGTTATGACCTTCTTTGTGTGTTTGAAGATTACTGTGAATTCTGGGGCTTTTCTGGTGTTTCCTTTAGTCATTTTGCTAGTTTGTTCGGCAGTCAATATACTTCCCCCTGAGCCGCAGACACTTAGTGGCTTTCACCGTCTGTCTCGGTGCTTTCACCCTTAAATTGCAACAGATTCTAGGGAAGCTGCTTTCAACTCTCACTTTCCCACGCTGCTGTTTCACCGCTGCTGCAGCCTCATTATACATGAGCATGTTTGTGCCTTTAAAGCATAAGTCTGGTGCTGTTCTCTCTGTGTGTTATTGTCAACAAATCCCATGAAAACACTAAAACTACAAACTTATCAGCCTTTTGTACATATTGTACATTACTGGTTAGTTACTATTCGACCTTAAACCCATAGAATATCTGACACTGGTCTAGAGGTAAAACTGGTTTATATTTTCAGACCTGGTCTCATTGTCTTGATTATGTAGGACCTAGAATGTCTGATATTTTCTTCGGTACTTCCTAGACCAAGCAGAGATGATAATCCATCATGCTTGTGAACTAAAACTGTTTTGAGGTAGATGTTAATGTAAATATGTATACTGTATATGTAAATAGGATGTGATGCATAATTAACACTGAAGGTATGTTTCCCAAAAAAAAGAAAAAAAGATGTTCTACAAAGTCACAGATGAATATTTATGAATCTTCTCAGACTTTTAATTGGTATTTCAGGTTTAACCTCTTGTCCTGCCGCACTGACCCGTGTACTTCCACTCTCCATCTTGAATATTAATGAGCCTCATTATAATAACATGTACACTGACCGCTGCTAGTTAGCATGTCCACCTAGCGCCTGCGATTGCAACACTCTGCTTTGATTCGGCGTTTGAGTGGCAGGCGGACATTTTTCAGGACATCTGAGCATCCACATTCTGGCAGCGAATCGACACACACATCCACCCACAGACGAGCACAGACTTTGTTTTTGTCACTGCACGTCCGGCATGCCCTTCTCTCTCATTTGGCCGACCTCCACCGAATCCTCCTTCTTGGATATGACAGGAAAATCCAGGGGCTTCAAATAGCTGCGACAGAAACAGCATCCTGTCCTCCCTTCCTGTAATCTCCCCTCCCTCCCTCTCTCTCCACCTCCATTCTTCCAAACATCATTATCTGAACACATCCCTCTGACTTTCTCTCTTCATCCACCTGTCTTTCCCTGCCTATCAACCCCCCCCGGCACTCTTTCTTATCCCCTTCCTCTCCCTCGCTCCCGCCCGTGCAGACCAGTTCCCCAGCCTGCAGAGTAAGATGCGAGTGGTACTGAGGGTGGAGGTGGAGGCTGTTAAGTTCCTGAAAGAGGAGCCGCACCGCCTGGACGCCCTCCTGAAGCGCTGCAACACCATGACTGATGCGCTCAGCACGCTCCGCAGGTACACATATCAAACACTCCTCAGATAATGCCTTACTTTCTTATTAAACCAGGTCAGCTCACATTTTATCCTCTTGTAGATGCTGTTATTGTGATTTTCTGTTGTTAGAGTCAACACTGCTTGCACCAAAACCTCTTAAACACTGAATAACACAGCTGGGGGTTGTTCAAAATGTACTAGTTTATCCGAAGTCATGATTCCTTACAGTGAGAAATATGTTTTTACACTATAAAAAAGATATGCACACATTCATATATTTACACTTTAATCTGCATACACTCAAATAGACATGGAGTTAAAGTAAACAAAAGCTTGTGCAAGAGAAGAAGCTCTCCTAAAGACTAACAGAAATACAGTAAATAAAGATAATGAAGGATGAACATGTTTCTCTACATTTGACTTTGTCTTTCATCTAAAGTAAATATCCTCATGTTTAAAATTAGTCTGGAAAAGGTTTTTTGGTGATGTTCAAAGTCAGATAAAATCATTTCTGACTTATTAACGTAACATCAAATACTAAATAATCATCTGTCAGTGCTGAAGGGAGAGGGTGCTGTCTGAATGCTGAGTACATCAGAGGAGGATTGATAGTGAGATGTTCTGGTCAGAGAGAGCTCATCAGACAGCAACCGAGACGAGCATCATTTCATCAAAGCTGGTTGTTAACAAGGTTGTTGAGAATCCACTTTATGTTGCCCTCTGTGTCTGTTCTGGTGCAGACACCATATCATAGAGTTTATAAAGAGAGATAAAATGAAAGCAACAAGAACCCTGTTTTAATCTAACACTCTCAAACACAAGCAGTTCAGCCTCAATCAAATCTAAATCAGGAAGTCTCTGATGGAAGAATCGTATATTATCGGTACGTTACTTTGAGAACAAACACACAGCGAGGTGCACAGCTTCAGTTCAAGCTCATTCCAATTAAATCACATCACACAGTCCTTCTCCAATCTGCTTTATTCACCCAATGTTTTGAAGATTTCTTGGCGCTTGATAATCGTGGTTACTCGATGTTATGGACACATTTCAGTCCAAACTGAAACAACCATTGCAGAAAAAACATTTGTGACCACATGTAGATGTCGTGGTTTTGGAACATTGTTGTGGTGTAATGTGTGAAGCCCATGTAAACTCCCATGTGAAACATGAAAAGTAACAAAAGATAGATAAATAAATGATAATAAATTAAACAACAATCGATAAAAACTTGAACAAGGACTCTCCCACAACCCCAAACCACAAACACTATATCTCTGTGATAGTGTGTCAAAACAAAGTACTGAGTATACTAAACTAAAACTTAAGGTATCAATAAGAAAACACAAATATAATAATAAATATTAAAGTAATAGCAACTTCCCAAAATGGACCAGTTTGCTCTGCTGGTGATGTTTTGATGTCACATTGGGAATCTGAGAAACATTTTTCACATTTTAAAAAGACTAAATGATAAAAAAAATGGATAATTGTGAAAACACTCTGGTGGCTGATGAGTTCCCTCCCCTCATCTCCTGTCATCACTCTACTATTGAATCTCTACTTAAGCCTAAAATGTTTTTAAAATCTCTAATAAGATAAAATAATATGTTGTTTGATTTGACAAAGCATCATTTTTGTGCATTTAATCTCCTTTTTCCTGTAGTTTCCAGATTGCCTCTCTAACACAGTCTAGGACCTTCATGGTGTCCTGTGTGTATTGTAGTCTCTTGTATCCCTCCTATATGTACAGACAAGTCACGGAAGGCGTGTGGAAGGGCCCCGAGGACCTCTCCAGCCAATCGCAGAAGAGAGCCGAGGACGTGAGCCGCAGCTCTGACCTGGATATCCTGAACAGTCCTCCGCTCAGCCTCACCGACCTGAGCACCAGCGCCGGCCTGGCCAACTGGATGCCCGTGTCCGCCGGCGACGCGGACTCCTTGGGCCCCGAGCAGGACATCCAGCCCTCGATGAGCTTCAGAAACCGGGTTCTTGATGAGCTGCCGAGTCGGCGTCCCGGCGATAAGTCCGTGTCGGCAGAAGTCAGACTGGTAATCAGATTTTAGACCAAACAACTGTGCACAGTCTAACACTTTATCCTCATTATTATATGCACCCAGGTGGCAAAATTATATTTAAAATTGCATCTGAAGGTTTAATTAACTTTCCTACTGAGACTCTGAGCGCAGCAGCAGCAGTCGGTGATGTTATATTTTTCCAGGCCTGTTAGTTAGCAGTTTGCGTGCTGCAGCTCATCGTTTGTCTATATCTGTATATATGTCAGGCGGCAGAGCGGGACTGGGAGGAGAAGCGTGCCAGCCTGACCCAGTTCAGCGCCCAGGACATCAATCGCTTGCTGGAAGAGACCCAGGCCGAGCTGATGAAGGCCATCCCGGACCTCGACTTCGCTGCCAAGCACATCAACAAGCCGGCGGTGCCCCCCAAGCCCCAGATCACCATCCCAATAACCTCCACCACGGTTACTTCCCCAGCAGCTGGGACAACCGGGAGCACGGCCACCACCACCTCAACCACCACGCCCAGTGGGGACCAGCAGCCTGGAAAAGTGCAGCTGGCTGCCCAGAAGCTGAACAGTATGGAGGGGGCCGGTTCGCATCGAGGGTCGGGTGAGTTCTTTTTTTTTCTCAACCATCTGTGCAGTAAATTCTGTTTATTTACCTCGATGTGAAGTCGTGTTAAGAGCAGCTTTTACGGGTGATGTAAGTGTTGTCCTCTGTTTGCAGTGGATCTCAATGTGGCCAGGTATCGTACAGAGAAACCCTCCAAGTCTCCGCCCCCACCTCCACCTCGCCGAAGCTTCCCGTCGGCACACGGCCTCACCACCAACCGCACTGGAGAGGTCATCGTCACCACCAAGAACCTGAAGGTGAGATACTTTCAGGACCGATTTAGGAAGTTAATCTCTGACCTCTAAAGTAGTTTTAAATGTCAGGACTCAGGTCCATTATGAGCATTTCATTGGTATTTTTCAACCTGGACTTTTCCCAGGTTTGGTCGAGTATTGAGTGAGGCCTCAAGATATCTGAATGAAAATGGGCTCTATGGGAACCCACAAGTCTCCCCTTTACAGACTCTTTATGCTAATTCCAGTTGCAGTGTTTGCATACGTTACTTTTGCCGAGTATATTTGAATATTTCTGCGTACAGGGACTATATACAGTGTTGGAATCTAACAAAGTCTTGTTGTGAAGTCTTTGGAGAGGTGAGGTGACCCGTTGCAGGAAGACAACAGTGGAAACGTGCAAGAGTTTCTTGCCAGGGTTCCCAGGCGTCCTGGAAAACCTGGAAATTGATTCAAATGACCAAACATCAACATTAACAATTCAAGTTAAATGAAACAAAGTGGTTTCTTATTTATAACATTATATTCTGAATATGATCATAAGTGGGATAAGACTCAAAACAACTCACGTATCACTTAAACCAAAGATATAATGAAAATGATCTGAAAGTCAAAGTAAGGATGTTCTACAGGCTCCCGATCATTTTTTATTAATATACCCCACATTTAGGTGTTTGGAATAAAGCCGTGTTTGCTCCTGGAATCATATCTTGCCTCATGATTAAAACACTGAGTGGGTTTTCGCCTTGTGAGCGACTGAACAAACAGCAGGCAGTTTTAATTAATGTGACAGCGAGTGTCACTGAGTGAGTTTTCAACAACAGCTGTTTTAGCTTTTAATTCAGTGACATTTTGCAGGTGAACCGCCCACTATAGCGCTGCTGCTGCTTCAAAGCTTTGGTTTTTCTTTTTGTTAAAGTTTATTGAATCTAAATCTGGTGCAGACCTTCCTGCAACAGCTGATCCAAAATATTATCAGAAGCCATTTTAAGGATTTCAGGCGAGCCTGTAGGCGGGCGCGGCGGTGTTGTATGTGGGGATTCTGTGAGACAAGTCGGATCCTGACCCACATATTAAAAAACCTGCTCTCATATGTACAACAGAGGGAGATTCCTGTTGGCTGGGGGGCAGTTTTAGGTTCGGTTCTCAGGCACGAAAGAGCTGCTGCTGCTACTCTAAAGCCTCCCTGATCTCTCTCTGTGGAGATCCCCGCTGAGTGGAATTCAATTTTGTCTCCAGAACAAACTGAATTCATCAAGGCGCTGATTCAACAAGGTGATGAAAACCTTCCTCCGGGACCTCGGCCCCCGTTCTGATCGAACAGCATCAAGTAGTTCCTTCCTTCCATTCGTCACACGGAAGTTCAGTTTGAGGTCTGTGAGACGTGCTGAATAACCAAGCTTTAGTTTGACTTGAATTGTGGATTAGTTCTTAACTCTTGGAAATGTCACCAATTGGCACTTTCTGTAGATTGCTTCCATGTTGTTTTATTATCTTTATTTCCTGGTTCAGAAACTAGTTTCAAGCCTCCAACTGGGCGTCTCCCTCTACGTGTGATTGACAGTCATTAGACTAGTTAGTGCTGACTGGAGGGGACTATCATATAGGGAATATTAACAGGTGAAACATACATTTGGAGGATTTTTCAGCATAAAATTTGATTTTTTTTAGGAGTTTATTCCAAGATTTGTGTGCAGTTCAGATTTCAGGCTGGATACCGATACAATTTTTTAGGTTTGTTGAAGAGATCTGAGTATTGATATTCGGGTTCAGTGTTCGGCACAAACAATGTTGTCACAGGGTTCCCACTGGGAAAATCTGGAAATGTAGAGACTAGTTTTCCAGTCATGGAAACAACTAGAAATTAAAATGACCATATCCTGGAAATAATCTGTGTTCTCTTGAAAGAATGTTTATTGTATTTTAGCCCCTCACTGAGACACTTAATTATTAAAAACATTAGCAATAACACTGAAGCTAAGGTCATACTTAGGCCTACCTGTACATTATATGTCCTGAATTGTTAAGAAAAACTGGAAAATGTCCTGGTAAAGTGTTAAAAAGAGTGGGAACCCTGCATCAGTTCTCAGCCGTCACCGTTACACAGTGTGCCATGTGTGTGCGTTGCCATAACAACCTACCAAACAAGGTTAGTTTTTTTCACATCCTGGGAAAATCCTGATGCATTTTGGGTGTTTACTCTGTGGCTCATCACTCACTCCAAACTTTGGCCGTCGCTCACCGAGCTCTCCGTATTACTCCTGGCGCCCCCGGCAACCAGTCGGTTCATTGTCCTGTGACCTTTACCGTCACTGAAGCCGGAGGACGCCACTGATGGCGTTGTTTGTTGCTGCTGTAGAACCGCTGTTGATCCTCTCCAATAAGCTGTCAGATGCTCCTGAACAGAGACTGTGTGGAGGTTCATGTTTAACCTGCTTCTGTTGCATTAGAGCTCCAGCTATTTTCATTACTGATTTCATCCTCAATATGTGAGTCTTTGCTTCAGTTCGCAGCACTGTGGGTTGCTGTGGACTTTCTGTAGGGGGAGGCTAAAGGGAAATGCTGTGAGCTAAACACAGATCAACTCCATTTGAAGAAAGTCTCTGGTATAAATAAACAGACTTAGTATAATTTCAGCTTGACTAGATTTGCCTCATGAAAGTAAGTATGCTATAATTACCGTGTATGCCACTAGCAATGGTTATTTATGTTCTAAAAGACAATTTATTTCAACAATATATTGTTCCCTGGACTGGGAAACAAGAAAACCCACCCCATTAATCTTGCCTATGCAGAACATAGAACACTATCCTTAATGTAGACCGCTGGAAGTATTAAAATTCATGAGTTATTAAACTATGAATTTACGTTTTGTTCAATAAAATGACAGAAAATAGTAAAAAAATACTCATCGCAGTTTCCTAAAGCCAAAGGTGACACCAAGTCTGTATTTCTGAATGTGCTTTTATAGTCCGTCATCTGTTAAAAATGCGTTTTATTATTCTATTTGTTACAAAAATTCACACTACGAGACGGCCGTCGTCAGGCAACGAGGAGGATTTTCTGGTCCTTTCACTTTTTGAAAGTAGAGAAATAAAATATTGGGTCCATCCGAGTCTGAGAGGATGTCAAGAGCGTGGAGAGTTTCACCTGCTGAAGGAGCTGTCTGCTCTTGTACAGCCTGACACTGCTGTCACTCTGTCTCTCATTTCCTCCCATACTGGAGGTTCCTCCGCAGGCTGTCTCCTCTCTCTGCCTGCATCGCGGCTTTCAGTGGCACTCAGAGATCTGACTGTGGCGTACAGTGTGCTGACTACTAAACAGAGAAATGAATAATGGCGACTGGGCACACAGGAAGAGAAAGATAGAGTCTTTCTCTGGTCTTTGAGTTAAAGTGAGGTTTATGATCACGATGCCAGTATCTTTATTAAAGTGAATTACTGATGAATCGCCCTACATACATCAATACTTGTACATAATACCCACACTCTTAGAGCTGAAAGGGGCCATCTGTGCGGACTGAATCTGGAAAAAGGAGTCTGTTTTATTTCAGTGTGTGGTCTTGGAGTGACCATCAATCTTTCCTCCCTCATCTCACCGAATTAATTCAGTTAATTAATATCTGTGCTTGTTTAACCTCTGTGGTTGGTGTGTGGTTGATGTATGGTTGATTAGCTCTCATCCTGTATAATGTGCAATGTGTTGTTTTGTAATATTTAGTTGGTTTGTATGAAATTGGCACTCAGATGTGAAACGATGCTGCCTTATTGGCCAGTTCAGCATTGGAAAAGAGATTTTATCTCAACAGGTTCAATAAAATGAGAATAAATATCAATCATCAATAACAATACACACGATCTATGACGGTGGTTCATTGAGTAAACTGATGAGTTGAAATGATTAACTGCAGGACGTTTGTGTAAAACGAGTTGTGAGCAGATTATTTGAGGGATTCACAAGGTGCTCCACTCCACAGCGGTTTTAACGTCTTCATTTCTCCTTTAAGATGGAAGAAGATGGTGACATGCCTAAAACTCTGGTGAAGCTGAGGCGGACCCCCTCCGACACCCCGCGACCTGCCTCGACCCCGCCCGTGATCGCAGCGTCTGCCATTCAAGACGAGGACGACGAGGAAAAGATAATTGCCGAGCTGGAGGTAGGACAGTGCAGATCGCTGATGTCTTGTGCAGATATTCATATTTGTGTTTTGCCCGTATGAGTGTGATAACATGTCTCTGCCACGCTCTCCCACACAACAACAACCACGGATCAAAGATATTTCAGCCTGTAAACGATTGTAATAAACAGTACAGCACCCTCCCAAAGGCCACGCCCACTCCGCCATGCACCTTCGGGTCCTTGGGCAGAAAGGTAAAAAACAGCCCTCTCCGTCTGCAACGCCTGTGCTTCTACTTCTACTGACTGCCCTTCACTGGCATTTATTCTCTACTTTACTCAAACCTTCACAACCACTAACACGCAAAGAGCCGACGCCTCTGTTCAGGGTAGAAAACAGATTATAAACTGGGCTGGTTCAATCAGATACAGCAAAGATACACACATTCATTCGTTCTAACGTGGTAGAGCTGCAACGACTGATTGATTAATTGATTAGTTGTCAATTTTTAAATTAATCACCAACTATTTTGATAATTAATAATTTTTTAAGAAAAAAAGTCAATATTCTCAGATTTTAGCTTCTCAAATGTGAATATATTTCTTTAGTTCTTTATGACAGTAAACTGGATATAATGTGTTTGAGGACATCCCCTTGGCTGTTTGGGAACAGTGATCAACATTTTTCACCATTTTCTGTCATTTTATGGACCAAACAACTCCTCAGTCATTCCCGAAAATGAACACTTCACCAATCGCTAAGAAAATGAATTGTTAGTTGCTGTAACATCACAAAATAAGACTTTAACACATATATAGAACCAGAAGGATGTCAGTTACAACATTATATTTACTTTTACAGTATATGAATAACATTGAATAACAACCTCCACTAGGGGTCGCCAAAGCTTCACGAGGGGTCGCGAGGCCTTCTTGGTTTTAAGGGGTGTTAGAAAACTTTAGAAATATGCACAGTAGGCCTCAATCTCAGCATTTTGTTCATTTCAGCAGAAGAAAGAGAACCTATTGATCGTTTTATTAGACGTGGTGGCCTGCAGTGTGGTTTCCGTTCTATCTGCTCTGCTGAACGTCTCTTTCTAACCCTGTTAACACTTCCTGCTTCCTGTGAGTTCTGCACATAGCGTGATCTTTGTTTGTGAACCTGGAGCTCTTTTCTCGTCCTCAGCAGTGCTTTGTAAACATGCAACCTTCTAATTGACGGTGTGATGCGCAGTGAGTCACTGATTGAAGCAGATGATGTATTTTAGTGCGAGCGCTGAGTGCACTTCCTGACAGCTCTGGTGACACATTTAGCTGAGTAAAGAGGTCTTGTTTTTGTTGGAATTATCGCACGACGGCGGCGAGAAGGTAGCTGTCAAAATAAAGGACGACGAGGGGGAGGGAGGGCGAGGGCGGCAGAGGATTTCAGGTTCAGCGCTGCAGACAGAAATGTTTCTCTGAAAGAAACTATTTTCTCACATGCAGGTGTTTTTAAATTCAGATTTAATTCACTGAAGGCGTCGGGCTCTCGCTGCTATGTTTAAAAAACTCTTGCCAGCAGTGATTAATGTCAGCAGAGTGAAACACAGTCATTAAAACAATATTTCCCATGGTAGAGCATTTTCATTCTCAGTGTGCGTGCTGCTCCTGAAAGGTTCAGAAACAAAGCTGGACACGTTTGGGACCCTGTAGAACAATTCTTTACTGTGTTTATTTTCTTTTATTAACACAGGCGACTGTACGTATATCACACAAGACGAAACACAACAAAAATAACGTAATAGGGTAAACTCACGAGAGAAAAACTAAACAGAAACAAAAAACTAAAAGGACAAAAGGGACAGGAGTACACAAAGTTAATAGGATCCATTCAATTATTCAAATAATTAGACCGTACCGATACATTTAGGGAACTGAAATATGCCAAGTTCACTAAACATATTTCACTATTCTACCTTTATTTTTTCCAAACGATATTGGCTTTGCAATGTATTTTTAAAGAAACTTAAATTCAGACTTTGTTTATTTGCACAGTAAATAAAAAATCTAATTTTCAAATTTCAATAATCAAAACACAATGACAAACAGATCCAAGAGGCTGACTGTGTGAAGAAAAGAGAGAAAGAACAAACATGGGAACCCACTGGTGTTTACAGTTCCGTCTTTGTGTCTGTATTGTCCTCTGGTTTATCCAGATCCAGATCCAGATCCAGACCGGAGAGCGTCCTCGTTGTTTGCAGTTAATTCCTCTCATTTTCTGGGAAAGGTCTCCCCCTCATTCCTCAGGGACGACACATAGACAGATATAAACAATGTCCATCCATTGTTTAAGACCGGGGGGCTCCTTTCTCTATCACATTTTACTTATTGCCTTTTTTGCCGACAACCAGCAGAATCAATTCCAGAAGCAATATCTTACTGATTGTAGGAATCTCATAACCTAAAGTATCTCTCAGGGTGTCAGAGAATATTCTAGACCACAAGATTCCCAAACACATTTTTAAAACAACTCTGGGTAAAAGTTTACTAAAGTAGTGTGGATTGAATTCCAGATTTCAAGTTCAAGACCTCTATTTGTCCCTGAGGGGCAACTGGTTCTTCTGCAGTCGCAGTAAAAGATACAGCACACACATAGACACACACACACACACACACACACACACACACACACACACACACACACACACACAAACACACACTGAAAAAACACATAAATACTGGAGTTAAAGGTCAAATACATGGTTACAGTATTAGTGAAAATCAATAGAAATATTTAAAATAAATATATATATATATATTATAGCTTAATATGCTGAAATAATTATTAAAGACAAAATAGAGAGAGTTTTTTAAATAAACAGCAGGTGAAGTTAATGTTTATAATGATATTATAATATTATAATGTTATTATTAAGAAACATTGAAAACTGAAAGACACATTATTTGTACTTTTCAAAACAAAGTTATAAAGTGTTTGACTTGTTTGAAACCAGGATTTAAACCATTTCTGGAGGCAATAAGGCAAAATAAAATAATAGAATGATCCAGAAGTGAGGTGGAATAAAAGACCCTCAGACAGTTAAAATAACAATAAAACAAATCAGCAGAACTGAGACAAATAAACAAAAAAAATAGATGAGACATGGAAATGGATGGAAATAAAACGCTAAAAGTATTGGTTGTAAAGAGATCAGAAAATAAAAAATAGAAATGTAATAAGTATCTAAGTATCTATATTATAATACAGTGAATGTGTGCTGAATGTTAATGTTGAGATCATTGAAAGATTACAGAAATTACAGTATTACAGAGACTGGCAGATACTATTGCTCATTAAGCTGTATCCTCAGGCAGGGACTTAAAGAGCACAACCACTTTTAATCAACTTACACGTGTGGCCAAAAGTATGTGGACATCGCTGAACCAGCACTCTTTCATGGTTTAGTCTCTTTACTTCCAACAAGGTAAACTCCCATCATATGAAGACCTTTCAGAGAACAGAGAGCAGTTTGTGTTTCTACGTGTTTCAACATCACCGTGCACAAATCCAGTTCCATAAAGAAATGGTTTTCCCAGTGTGGCGTGGAGCTCTGACCTCAACCCCTTCCAACATCTCTGGGATGAACTGTAGAAGAATGGAGGCTGATATAGCAGCAGATTAATGCCCACTGTTTTAGAAACAGATGTCCAACAATCACACAAGAGTGTAGGTTTGGGTGTCCACATACTTTTGGCCATGTAGTTTGTAGCGTTTATTGTATGTATGATGGGAGAATGGCTGCTTTGTATATTTGTATCATTAATATCTGTTTCCTCTCGGCTCCCACAGAACAGCAGCAACTCTCCGGGGCCGATGAAGGGCCCCACCGTCGCCGCCCGGCTCAAACACCTTCAACAAGGCAGCCTAGAGAGGCCCAAAACCCGCAAGCAGAAAGAGGATTTCCCCAAAGTCCAGGGCCAGCAGCAGGTATTCCACTTCTAAAACCTCCACCTCTGACGCTCCGTCCACCTCTCCTCTCTGCAGTCGCTGTGAAGGAAGTTCCCTCCCTGCGACTTTCTACCAGACGAGACAAACTGTGTAGGCCCGACCGACACACACACCAGAGGGGGAACTATCTACAGAAACCTTGATTTTTACCAGTTCTTGATGTGTGTTCTGAGTTACTGGATCTAACCTAGCTTGCTTAGAGATCAAGTTTTTTGTCGTACGAGTATGTCGATGTTTTGATTTCCTGAGGAAGGTCTTGGTGGTGCTTGTGACTGATTAAACTAGCTTTATTATAATAGATCTATTCAGATACATCCGTTGCCTCCATTGTGCGGCATAATCTCCAGTAATGCCACGGAATGATTTCATATCTTCAAGGTCGAAGTGATGATATTTCACCGTGATCCAGCCATGTATTCTCTCACTGAATCCTCATCTCTCGCTCTATTCATCCAGTAATTACCACATGCTGCTCTCTTTCTATCACCCATCCTTTAAATCTGCAGGTAGGGCTGCAGCAGGGTTGCACAGTATTTTTTGGTGTGGCTGGTAATGAACAGCACTGAAAGGCCCACGTTCCAGCCAAAAGGCCAATCCATTAAGCTAGCTCACTCAGAATTGCTTTTTTTTCTTTTGAGAGCTCTGATGCTACGACTTATTATGCAAGAAGACAAGAGTGAAGCACAAGGTCCAAGGTTACCTGAAAAAGCTGTTTTTGTAGATGAGCTTCTTTCGGTTTAATGCGTGTGCAATAAAAATATTTATGGACGAGAAGGAAGACTCACTGAGGCAGCAGAGCAAAGTCAAAATGTATGTGGAAGCACAAATAAGCCGGAAGGATTTAAATCATCTAAAAAATTTTATACGTAATTATTAAATTTAGATTTCCCTCTTTGAAATCTCTTGTAGGTGAACTTGATCTTATTAAACTTTAAAGCTCCAGTGTGTAACATTGAGGAGGATCTATTGGCAGAAATGCAATATAATATTCATAGGTGTGTTTTCATTAGTGTTTAATCACCTGAAAATAAGAAATATTGTGTTTTACTTAACTTGTAAACTGTAGTTCTTAGATGCCACTAAATTCACACTGGTCCTTTAAAGCCGCTATAAGGAACTCTCATGTTGTGTTGACTCTGGCGGCCCCTGTGGACAGAAGTGGTAGTGTCCCCACCGCCTCGTTTCGTTGATTTTAAGGGGAATCCGACCCGATTTCAGGCGAAAAGAATAACTACATAGAAATCTTCTCACTGATGGTCCCATGTGTGGGTTCATACAGGCTGCGTTCACACCTCAAACCTTATCTCTCAATCCTGATTTGTTGCTCAGATCGGGTTTGTTTTGTTTGGCTGTAAAAGTCACATGAATTCCGATATGGCTGTTCACACTGAGGACCACATATGAAAGTAGACCGAATCAGATTTAATAATAAGTAATAATAATTTGTCAGATCTGAGTCACATACGGGCAAAAAAGTCTGATTTAGGCCACTTTTCTGTTTCGTAACCAGTTAAAAACTCTTTGTAGCACATTTAAGTATTTTAAGGGTTTTATATTTAACAGAAATTATACAGAAGTTGCTCAAATTCAGTTGTTAAATTTAAGATCTAATAATTAGTGAAAAAAATTAAATGTTGATGGAATTCAGACACTAAGTGTTCATACAATATAATCAATGGAGCCTGAATGGAAGCGATCGGATGTCGTATCAGGTTACTGTCTGTCAATCACATGACCCGCAAAATAAATAATTCAAAGAGAGGCTTTATAATATACTTTATTATCCCTTTTTTAGTCACATGACTCAATCCAGATAAATGTTTGTGAAAGTGGAATAATTCATATTTAGTCGTATACAGTGCCAACATAAAGTGTTGTAGTTTCCTATAAAATTCAATTGAACATCACATTTCTTTGCCTCCGACCTCCTCGTCCACACATACAGACTCAAACCGCCTGTGTTTGACAGGAAGCCATCCGACCAGCGGCGACGTGTGGAAGCTTTATTCAGACGTCCTCCCGCAGACAACCAGTCGCCCTCTTTTTCCTCCTCACGGCTGCTCTTTCTTCAGCTGCTTCAGCTCCAAAACAGAACTTCAAACAAAATGTGGGAAAAACTGTAAACAGCTTCTCCATAAAACATAACTTTAACAAGATACTAGGAAAATAAATAATACGTCTTCCTGCACCAGCGGGGGAAATAAACGGTCCAGTCAGAGCCGAGTATGGAAATGAAACCAGCTCCAGGCTCACGAGAGGCCAGAGGGAGGCTCTGTATGTGTGAGCGGGAGGTTAAACTCAGTGCTTGGCCGACAAACTCCGAAGCCTTTTTAGATGTGAAGCTCCGCTCGTCTTATCTGCTCCCGCAGACACTCCAAGCTGCCCCCGACCTGCTGAGTGGAGCAGCCTTGACCCTTCCTCCGCCACGAAAAAGAGCTTTCAGAAAATACCCAGAGAGAGAAAATGATAAACCATCCAGACAGCGAGCACCTTAACTGCTCACAGACATCCACAGTTTCCACCCTGAATCTCTACGCCTGCATTTTTAAAATGAATTCATGAATTTAGCCATTAATCATGCATTACATCATTTATAAATTCATTTCTCCCTGAAAGCAGCTCGTCCACAGGAGCCCACACATGTTTGAGAGACGTCCATGTATCAGGTTATGACTCCCAGGAAAGGACGGCCTCTTTGACAATAGCCTCCATTAGCCGTAACAGCAATTAGCACATGGCTAACATGGCTGACCTCCACTTGACATGCTGAAGCCATCTGGGCGAGCGTGGCACTTCCCTCCGCAGCGAGACCTCCGGGATTAGTATTCAGGGGGCCAGTCGGGTCCTGTGCCGGACTGAATATTAACTCCCTTATTGCTTTTTAAAAATTCATCACCCAAAGAGCCCGAAAGCAAATAATGGTTTGTGTTTTTGTGCATAAATTCAGCTCGTGGCTTGAGATAATGACATCAAACATGGTGTTAATGTGGAGCAGAAACAGGTATTCTCTTAAGTATCCTCAACGCAGTCGCACGAGCAAAGTTATCTGCAGAAAAACGAATCATTTGGTTCAACGTCAGTAGAGAAAAATGAATCTCTGGCACCCTAAACTACATACAGCACTGTGGGTTGTGGGTCCAATGCAGCAGGGTGTGTAATAGTTAATGTAAAGAATGCTGATACAACACAACAAAAGTTTAACTCATTACCTAGAGTTTGCTGCCATCGCAGTCACTTTATTGTTTTATTTCCATTCACACATTTTCTGCTGTGGGTGAAGGAAGCAGTAAACATCACATGATGCCTGTTCCAAGCCTCGGGGCAAATGAAAGCATTTTGGATTGTGAAATGTTTGCTAACCAGAGGCTATTACACTGCAGCTTCCATCTACAACAACTACCAAACCAATGCCACCAAATATCTCATCTAACTTTTGTCGACCTGTGCAGGAGTTTTGTTTTCTGCCGCGGCTCCAGAGCTCCTCCTGTTTATTCCCCGAGTTTGATGGAAAAGTTGCTGCTCCGCTGCGCAAAAAAAAAAAAAGAAAGAAAAGGAGGCGGTGCACTTTATAATCCCCTTTTGGAGTCTGGGTGGTGCACCTGTCTGCCAGTCCTTTTGTTCCTGAGAGCGGTGGGAGAGCCACAGATGTGCCGGCGTCCCCCCCGAGGCACCGAGCAGCACCTTGTCACCACAAACTGTTTTCTTTTATTGTTGAACTTAAGCTGTTGTCAAGCTTTGGATTCTTCCTCTTCCAACACAGTTACAGACAATATGAGCATTCAGAGGACGTGAAAGGCTTTTTTAAGTGTGTTTCACTCAGCCGGTCTTTTCTTCAGGCGTTACAGTCGGCTGTTAATCCTCACCAGCCTGCAAAGAATTCATCTTCGTCCAAGTACTGTTAGCCAAAACTGAGATTTTCTTCTTTGATCTGGTCCCTTGAACAGAAGCATTATTGCCCCGCGGAGTCAATACTTTATCACAACTTGGGTCTTATTTTTGTAGTTTTGGCTTATTTCTATCAGTAATGATATTATTGCACTGATGAAATCAGTTATTGAGAAGCCAGACGGGTCGAGAGACATGCAGACGAGCTGTAAGCAAACCTCCTAATTAGCCACATTTATTTAGAAGAGAAAAGATGAAAAGTAAAATGATGTCCATCGCAGTTCACAGACCGACTCCTGACCCACTGAACTGCAGCTAAACGCAGTTTATGAGGAATTATTACTGACACTGTGCTTAAAGCAGCATTAGAGGTGTTTCAGTCATCCAGGCTCATTAGCCCTCTGCTCAGGTTGAAGTCGGGTGGAGCTATGATGGAAAAGGTCCCTAAACTCGGTGTACCAATAAGAATAATCGTTGTAAGCTGTCGCATTAGGAGAGTGGAGGAGGTGTTAATTAAGCACAATCTGTGCTCACTCGAGCATCAGGAAATAAATAAGTGAAAACACCTGTAGGGCTTTTCACACTGCGCTTAGCACCAGGCTGTTAGAGGTTCGGTGTGAACGTACAGCCGGGGGGGCTTAGGGTTGACCCTGGGTTTACTGTGCGTGTTTGAAAAGGGGGTAAGTCATCCCAGGGTCGACTCTTAACCCCGGGCTGAGAATACGCAGCGTGACAAGCACTTGTGAGGGTGACAGTGTAGGAAGGCAGTTTCAAAATATACTTGGCAGGTGATTGGATGAACCATCTGTCTATCACTGGTGAACTTCAGCCAATAAGATCAATGAACCATATCACAAAGTCTTACTGAAGCCAGCCGGGAGAAGAGTCTTCGTGTTTCATTGAAACATTGAAATACTCTCCAGTTCTGATGTAACTGATGCTAGCAGCATCTACGCTAACCTCTGTAACAACTTCCAGTCAGTCCTGTTAATGTCCAGTTCAAGCCCCGCCCCTTATTGGGTATACAGATACACTAGCTCCTCCCTAATTTGCTAGGATGCCTACCTCTGAGCGTAGCTAGATGGGACTCTAAATTACATACAAAAAGTCTCATTAAACTCAATGACAAGCACCAGATCACTCACAGCAACTTATCTGAACTTGTCTGGTAGAAACAACAACCAAAGCTACAAAAACAAGACTCAAGCTTCATCCTTTTCGTGAGGATTTTACCTCTCAAGGACAGATTGAAGCTCCATCCATCAGGCGCAGATGTACTTGGCACTCTTTAGACGTACAGTCCCACTGTGGCAGGCGTCTCTCTACATGCCCAGTGCTGTCTGAACAGTCTCAGTCATTAATCTTCCTGAACGTAGCTTGTTTGTCCTCAAAAACCCTTTCGCCTGCCGAACATTGGGACGGACAAACAGTCAGCAGCCGTTGTGTAATGTGAGGGAAGATCTGTGTTCCAGTAATGTGCAGAGCCGTTCATTAGCGGTGGCAGCAGAGGGGGGACGGACAGGGGGGACAGACGGGGGGACGGACAGGTTACGGTTGTTCTTCCACTTGGTTTATTTATTGGACACATAAAGGAGCCTCTGAGACTCTGCTGCTGTTTAAAGAGAGATCAGGTCAGATTGAAGGAAATGTTTTCTTAGCAACACCCGAGAGCCTCGGCTAATAAAGAGCACACTCCTCTCCTCCTTCATCTCCTTTACTCTCTTTCCCTTGTGTCCATTTGTTGTCTCCTCTCCTTGCTTCTTCCCCCCTTCTCTCCTTTTCTCATCTCGTTTCCTCTCCGTATCTCTACTTTTCCTCCCGTTTCTGTATATTCTCTCCTTACTACCTCTCCTATCCTCTCACCTACTGGTTTCCTTCTCTCTCCGAATCTGTTTCCTTTTCTCATTGCCTCGTTTCCTCCCATCATCTCCTCTTCCCTTGTCTCCTCTCCTTGTTTCCTTCTCTCTCTGCATCTCTTTCCTGCTTTTTCATCCCAATACCTCTCCTTGTTCCCTCTCCTCTTACTCGCCTCTTCTCCTCTCCCCTTCCTTTTGCTCATTTCCTTGCTTCCTCTCCTTCCTCTCCTCTTCCTCTGCTTGTTTCCTATTATCATCTCCATGCAAACAAGAAGAGGAGACAAGGAGACACATCTCTATTCCTTGTCTTCTCTTCTTGTTTCCTCACCTCTGCTCTTCTCACCTTTCCTTATCTGAGTTCCTTCTTTCCTCTCCTTAAATTTCCTTTCCTCGTCTCCTCTTTCCTCACTCTCCTGCCTCTCTTTTTCTTTCCTTGTGTCTTTTATCCTCTCCTCCTGTCAGACTCGTCTTACATGATCCCTCCTCTCCTGTCTCCTTTACCTCCCTCCTCCCTCCCGGCGTCACACAGAGAAGAAGAGCTGAATAAGGACCGATCTTTGAGTCCCAGAGCAGCGCTGTGATCACAGCTTCATTTCTGCCTGTTTGCTGCTCAGCGACAGCCACATTCTCCTTCTTCTTCTCTCATCTCCCCGCAAGCACGATGCACCAAAACCCGCCGTCCCCGGTGGCCAATCAGGAGATTGAAGCGTAGAGTAGCGGTAGTTCGGGGGGGCGGGGGGGATGTGTGAGATTTAACAAACTTGAAATACATTTGTCTGTTTGTAAATTTTGATTTTTGTCTTTTTTCTTTTCCCCTCCCTCTCACTGCTTCTTGTTCCGTCTTGTTTTTTGACTTTTTTATTTTTTGCTCTTAAATCTTCCTTCCTCTCTGCTTCCTTGCTTTTTTTGGGGGCAGTGCTGAGATGTTTTTGTCCCTGATGCTGCTTCTTGTGCTCCGGCAGAAAACGCTGCTCATCCTTCTGGCCAATCACCATCAGTGTGGCTGATGTTTGCCTCCTTCCACCGCTTCTTCTCACGTCATTTCAGTCTGTGAGTCTTCCTTTCTTTCCCCTTCTCCCTCTCTCGCTTTGCTTTCTTCATCCTCTGTCTGCTTCTCAGGTCTCAGCTGGACTAAATGCGTGAGGAGCGAGTACTCGGATCATTCTGGTTTTGGACTCGATCCTAGTTCAGACCTTGAAGGAGAGAGATTTTGAACAGTTTGTTCCGACTATCAGCTAGAAGTCACCAAAATTATCACACTAGGGAGCCAAATAGGAGATCGACACACCAATAATTTACTTTTCACATTGAAGGTTTATTGGATGCGGCTCTGGACCTGCAGTTCGAAGCAGTGTGGGGATTTCACTTCTAATATCTTTGTTGCAAATTCATCGTCCACCATGTCTAACAATCCAACACAATTTCTGTGTCCCAGTTTCAAACTACGTACTAAATTTAAGCAGGTTTTTATCAAGTTTGAGTTAATGATATTCAGCAACAATCAGAAGATTTAGGATTGAACTTTGTTTGTTTTGGTAAAGTAAGTATACTGCCCTCCAGAGGCTAACCGCAGTAAAGAAAGGCTTTAAAGTTTTTGGACTCTCCAGCCTAAAGTGTTTTAGGAAGAACGGCGACTATGAGCTTATTGAATATGTATTCTCTAAGTTGTTTTTACGGCTTAATAATCATGACCAGTTATTTGACCTCTGACCCCAAAACTGCAGATTAATGCACTCTGTCTTTGTGTTAGCATAATCAGATATAAAGAAATATCTGACAACATCTAAAGCTAATCTGATGTCTTATTACATTAAATCTGTATTCGTTATTGTTTCATGTGTAAAAAGGTGAAATATTTATAGATAATAGATAGAAATGTAAGTATTTTGTGAGCTTTAACCTATAACAGATGTATTTTAATTACTACAATAATACACAGACGAAGTCAATAAGAGTTCCCAGTGGAGAACATGAAATTGTAGTTCCTGCGGTTTGCCTTTGTAGGGCAGTATTTATATTATTATAAAGACTTACAACATAACACAACCATGAATGGATACAACAAACAAACCATCACAATATCAATACGTCTCCAAACCACAAAAGTTGCTTTAATCAGTGGGAATGTTTCCTCTTAACGAACTGGAAGAATGGAGCCAAAATCCTCCCAATTTTATTGGAGGAGACACTTAATGAGTCAGATCTTTCACTTTTCATGTGAAGAACAATATAAATGTCGTCTCGGAGAAACAACTTAAACAATGTTGCTTCTTTTTTTCGATTCCCAGCGTGGTTGAACTGCGTTATGTTTGAGGTTTCTTGCCATATTCCCCTGGATCGGCCACACTTCAACGCGTTACTCTAAATAAATCCTTCTCGAGATGAGTAAACAGAAATTGATGTCAAAATTTGTTGGACTTTCCCTTTAAAAGAGGGTTGCCCAACCTTGAGACTTAATGGTGGGCCATGGGTCGAAAGTAAACACATATTTTATTGTATTATTACAATGCAAAGTGTCGCTCTCCAGATATTTAAAGAGCATTTTGACCTCACAAAAATTAAAACAGCATAAACAGCAATTAATATTATAATTCTGTCCGAATTTAACCTCACGATGGGTCCAACCTCTTTAAAACAAACTGCAGGTGGAGGTGAGAGAGCTCAAAAGTGGTTAATTAATGAGATTCTGCTGAATAAAAAAACATACTATTATAGCAATTAGTATATAATGTATACAATTAGTATGGAGTATGAAACTGGGACGATATTTTCCGTGTTTCCTAAGATGGCTTTGTTGTAGACACTGAATCGAACCCTGGATGTAACACGCCGGAGGGGTTGAGATGAAGTGTGAAGAGTTAAATAATCCTGCTCACAGGCTCACTGTGAGAGTATTTATACCACAGGAATTAAATCACAATGCTTCAGTATATAGTTAATACATCTATGGAATGTATTAGTAGTCTCAGAAATAGCATTAAACGCTAGCACGAGTAATAATAGACAAACGCAGTTAAAGTATAACCTAAAATCACTTCACAGATATATTGTATGTATATTAAAATGACCATTTAGTTTTTTGTTTTGAAGAAAAATCGCTTTATTAACATGTAAAAAAGAAAAAGTATCATCTATGTTTTATATAATCAAGCTTTTTTTGTATTTTTATACTTGAAGAAGAGGATTCATAAGCATGTAACACATTTATTCTGTAAATTATTATTTTTCTGTGTTGAAGATTTTTTTGATTTTTAATTATTTCCGTTCCCGCTAACCATGACCACACTTTGTTGTAGAAGACCGAGTCAGCGGCGGGAGAGCGGGAGGTACTCCAGATGGTTGTGATGGACAGTATATAGTACACCACCACATTTATTAAAAAGCACATACCTTCCTCTAAAGCTCACTGATAGGACACCCCCCCCCCCCTCCCCATTTTATAGCTGTTTTTCCTCTATTATAACCGACAGTGTACTACACAGACCGCAGTTTAAACTCTATTGATGGTTTCTTGATGAATGTGTGATTGTTCAAACCATTTGTGGATGTTTCAAAAAGTGTATATAAACCCAAATACTATATTACAAAAAACTGATTTTATGTGGGAACATTTTTTTAGACGGATTAAAAAAATAAATAAAATAAAAAAAGGTAATCCAAAAATGGCATGCATACTGTATACATTCCTGGAAATCTGCACGCTGGGTCAACAGAGGTCTCATTTTATTGTCAATAATTCTGTGTATACTGTGTGAGTGTATGATAGAGTAAACAAAAATTGTACAGTAACATAGATTTTTGTATTATGTTCAAAATGGGTCGATAAAAGCCCCTTTTACTGTGAGAATAAAGTAAAAAAAACAATTATTGTAACTATTGAGGAAGATATTTGAATGATATATCAACTGAATACTGTTCCTCCAGTCTGAGAGTGATGCTTGCTGTGTGGGGTCAGTGTTTGTTTGTGAATCGTGACGAAGAATGATAATCTACTACAGAGTCAGTATAAACTAATAAAGACCAACTAAAACCGTGCAAAACGCCGCGCAACTTTTGTGTATGGAAAGTAAAAGTTGCTGCTTCATGTGAGAAAAATCAACCAAACGAAAAAGGTTGCTGCTTTTGTACGTTCCTGTTGTGTTTTTGTGACAATAAAGGTGACCCTCTTATACATGATGGTTGGAAGTGACTCATTTTTATTATCACTTAATCAGCTGATTGATTCATTAATTAGACAATATTCTCTCCATAAAATATAATCCAGTTTCACCCAAATCTCTGATAAAGTTGTGTTTGTACAGTAATCAGTGAGCTCCACTAGCGAGCCATACTGTCAGCTGTTTTTGTGGCTCTGAAAGTTAAAGTTAGTTCGTTCTTACGTAAACACGCGTCACACTTTGTTTTACAGGAAGACAAAATGATTGGATTTTGATATAAAAATACAAATAAATTGAGGTTTTGTGAATGTTTTTGGCATGAAATTGTTAAATATGGGTGCAATAGAACTCCCTTAAAAGGGTTAAAATTACATTTGACACGAGTTATTGTCTGAAACGTCCTCATGTAAGCAGCCAGAATGAATGCATGAGGTTTTAATTATCAGTTGAAATGAAAGAATATTTCAGCCGGTGGGTTTCGGAGGAGGCCACCTTTAATAAATCATGAGTGAATCATCATTTAATACCGAGTGCAACAGTTTTAATCATGTTGACTCTGAAGCCCTCCCCGTGGACAAATAAATGTCACAGATTAGTTTAAACCCAGCAACGCCTAAAAACTAACCAAATATGTGCTCAATTAGACGGGAGCGCTGGCGTGATGAGGTCGGGCAGCATTCATTTAGTTTGGATGAAAGTTTAATGACTCCTGAGGAGAAGAGGAGGAAGATTATGATCTACGGATTGAGTTTGATTACAAATAAGTGAGCACAGTTTTTGGTTTGCAGACTGAAGCGTAATGAGAATAATTGTTTGGTGAGTAAATGAGAAGAGAAACTAAACAAATGGAGCACACACCTTGCTGTTTAACCCTGTAATGTCTGAACCATTAAATAACTGCCAGAAAATTCACTCTTTTTTTTGAGTGTTTATTGAACTTTCTGACAAATTTGCATATATGTGAGTTTTAATTTATCATTTTTGCTACATCCGGAATTTTATCTTTTATCTTAAACCAACAAAAACATATAAAACACAACATTTTTAACCCATTAAACTTTGAGTTTCCCTTTAAAATTTTCTTTTTTATTTAATTTCAAACATACAAAAGACTTTTTTTTTTACATATTGCACCACAACGTCATACATCGTAATAAAGCTCTCATGCAGCAATGACAAACCAGAGGAACTTTTCACTTAGTTTGGTTCATTTTTTGGTTTTTTTTCCCTTAACTTTTAAAAAATTGGCAAAAATAAACTTGAAAAACCACTTTGTGGGTCACTGATTGACTCTGCCGTCCAAAAACGCGACTTCATTTAAAGAAGAACTCAGATAATAAAACTATGTTACGTAATGTTTTATCTTGTACAGTACACTTTGGCAATACTGTTTCAGTATGGTGAAGCCAATAAGACTTAGACTTCACTTTATTGATCCCTTTGGGATGACTCCCTCAAGGAAATTGAATTTCCAGCAGCTTACAAAACATTTGTATAGAAAATAAAAGAGGTATTAAAAAAAACCCAATATAAGATAAACAATAAACTCTTAGCTAAATATAGAAAGTAGAGATAAGAATAAAAGTAAAATAAAATCCAAGTCAAATAAAATAAAATAAATGTAGAGAACTGTATAGATAATATAGATAATAAAGCTTCTTTTGAAGTGATTTAGATTTCATTTATAATAAAATGTGTTGATGCTGAAACAGTCTTGGACTCACAGTAAACTGATCAGGAATCAATAAGGAAATAAATAAGGAGTCATGCAGCTGTTATAATTGGTATCAATCAAATCTAATCACCTATAAGAAGACTGACACGCCTCTCATGTTAAAGGGGGCGTCGTCTGGAGCTGTTAGCCTAGCTTAGCGTAAAGACTGGAAACAGGGGGAAACAGCTAGCATTCTGTCCAAGGTTAAAGAAGAAGACCACCTCCCTGCACCTTCTAAGGCTCATTAATTAACACCTTTATTGTTTGGTGACAAATGAAACTTGTAAAAACAACAACAACTGCGTTCTGTAAATAGTTTCTGACACGATCCTCGCAGTATTTCTCTTTCTGCAAACAGTTGCACCGGCGAGCGAACAACCATCAGCACCTTCTCTGATCAGCAGCGTCTTGGATCTCGGTGGCAGCGGACACTAATGAGAGTTAAAGCGCCGCTTTGTTTACCGTCGGGGAGATAAGCCGGAGGATAAAGGTGATCCCCGGCTGGATCCTCAAAGGCGGGAGGACTTATTATGCAAAGCAGACTTCAGTTTGACCTTCATCGTCTGCCAGGATGAGCCCGCTGGCAGATCTCTCTGGTGAGTTCGTTCAATCTGATTTAAAGACGCTTGCACCGATTTGTGGCCACCAGGGGGCAGAACGACCCCGAAACAAACTGAAAGAAACCACCGTTATGACTGAAGTAAAACATTTAGCTAATCACACATTCATTTGGAAGCATGTTTCTGGAGGATTCATTCTCCTGTTTTTACATTATATTTGAATTTCTCCAGCAACTACTGATGAAAACATCTGGCTCTTCTCCAGACAGTCGCTTTCTGAGTTTAAAAGGGATTTCTTGCTCAGACACAAACACAAACAAAATAATAGCATGATAAGAAGCTTTAAAAGGGTTTGTTTGCTCTACAAAAATCATTTAAACAAGCCAAATATTCTTAAATATAATATTTTTTTCTTAAAACTAGCATAAAATTCTGTCCACTGAAAACTAGAAAAAAATGCAAAAACATTTAGCAGGTTGTGTTTATTTGAAACAATGAAAACTCAGTTATTTAAGTCATAAAATAAGTATTTTAGTCACTTTATAGAGCTGAATTTAAGAATTTGTACCTTTAATCTGAGATTATAATTAGCTGAATAAAATCTGACAATAAGACACAATTTCTTCAAACAACAAAAATTTAAGTTCACAAAGATTCTTAATTAACAGCTTTTATTAGGCATTTTAAGTGACTCTAACTTAGTTTAGTAATTTACAGAAACCTGATTAAATACTTTTTAAGTATTTTGTTTTCACAGTACACATCAAAACTACAAAATGAAATCAGTGTCACTTTAAATAACTAAATCTTCTTGATCACAAAGGTTTTTTTAACTACTTTTTGTGTTAAATAAACTTTACAGTTTTACGTTTTTTCTTAAATAATGAAAATAATCTTGTTCCTCTGCTGGAATATTATACAAAACATTGCTGTTACTGTAATATCTTATTAAGACAAAAAGAGACTCACTTAAATATTTTAAGGATTTTAATGTATTAAATACTCCTTTATGTTACTTTTAAAATATAACTGTGTCCTCATCTCAGCCTCATATTGTCTATATTATTCTTTTACATCTGTTCATAGTAGAACTGCACAAAGTAACGCTGCCTTTCTTTTTGTCAGCACTATCGAGGCCATCTTGTTAGAATAAACTTTATTGGAAGGTGAGGAGCTCAATCAGACACACCTGTGAGCTGGGGGAAGGGAACCAGGAGCAGCAGGGAGGATAATGTCTGATATTTAAGTAGGAGGAGTCACATTAAATGAAACAGCTGGATTTCTTGGACCTCCCTGGACAACAAAGTGCTGCTGGTCCCTGCTGGACTTCCTCGTCTCTGTTGGACCTACAGAGAGTCGAGATAAGTCTCCTCACACACAGTCGCACTAACTCAGAGATTATCTGGACACGTTTGTGAACTGAAATCAGGTTTCTGTTGATTGATTGTGGATTTCTGATTCTGATTTATTGTTTAATGGACTGAACCGGTTTGTGTTTTATTAAATATTAGATTTGTTGCTTTGAGTTTGTTTTGATTATTATTTGATTTCAACACAGAAATATTTAATATAATCTGAATTGGTGGATTATTATTATTTTTTTTATCTTGTTAACTTTTATAGCTGCACAGGTTTCCTCTTTAACTTGTTTATGTTGATTTATTTTTACAGGTTTAGAAATATTCTCCAGTCTGACGCCCAACTCTTAACTGTAGATTTGTGGCAGTTTGGTGTCAATTTAAACACATTTATTTAGATTAATTAAAAAAATAGTGTTTAAAAATAAATGAATTTAATGATCTGTTATGGCCACATTTTAGATTAAGTGATCGGCTAAACTTCAATTAAAAAATTTAAAGATTTGGACATTTTTAGAATGTATTTATTAATGTAGCAGGTACAATGACTATTATGAAATATGGTGAACATTAATGTCAAATTTTAGTTGAAACTGTTTTAGAAAGAGGTGTTTCTGTTATTTAGTCCACCCTCATTGCTGTAAACAAAATAAAAACGACCTGCGTTGTATCAGACTGCGTTAGATTGGTTCCCATCCTGCAGGTCGGGTTAACTCTGAGGGCGGGAGAGATAAACAGGACAGGAAATCAAGAAAAAAACATGTGTTGCAACATGCAATGTGTTTCCTGTAGCGTGCACAGATTTACAGTCTCATTTATTTGTTGTGCCAGTAAAACAAACGGAGCAGTTTGACAGTCCTTTTTGATGGGTTGTGTTTTTCCCCTAGAGGCACCTGGAAGTGAAACTGAGTAATCAGCTCCACCCTCCTGCCCTCACTCCTCCGCTTCCTGTTCTTTACTCCTCTGAACAGATCAGACCGTACAGTAGTTAGTTCACCTACGTCTGTGTATTCAGGAAAAACCAAAGAATCAGTAAAACAACAGCAGACGGTGGAACAGACGACCGACTGTAAGTACAAACACACACTGTGATCTGAAACGGCTGTTCAAACTGCACTCACTGCATGTACGATTTATACTTCATTTCTTATACATTTTATGTCTATTTAAGTTGCATTTTGTCATACTCTCCAAGACTGGAACCTGTTGTAGGAGCTGGTTGTGATTTTAATGTCATTGCTGGCATGTGAGAACTTGTTCAGGTTGTAAACTTCCCAAACTGGAAAAGCTGCACATGTGAAAAACAGTAACGCCCATTTTATACACATATACACATACAGTTTGTATGGAGACCTGAGTGTGCCAGCAGAATAAATTGTACCATTATTCTGTTAAATTAAAATGCTTTAATGAATTAATAAGTTTTAATAATCCATTATAGAGGAATTAATTACATTTGCATTCAGATGATGCATTAAAAACAGATATCAAATATATAACTGACATTGACACTTTTATTCTGTCTTTTAAAGAAGAAATTAATTTATTTCATCGAAAGCGACTAACTGGTGAACATAGTGGAGCCAGACATTTCCCTTTTTATAGTAGTTAGGCATTAAAACAGAGCTAAAGGTGAGTGAATATTGGATTTACATTCAGTATTCTTGTTCTGCTGCCCCCAAGTGGCCAAAAATATCAGTTATTAGAGGTTTAAGGTTGAATGCAAATTAAATTAATAGGTTTTTAAATTGTAAAAGCTTGTAAATATCTAACATAACATCAAAATTACTGTTTAGTATTCAGATTGCCTAATAATAGACCAGGAAGTTTTAAAAGCTCTTCTGTTTTTCATATGCAGGCAGAAAAGTGAGAACTTCAGCATTAACGGGAATTTACCTTCGATTTGTGGATCTTAAACAACCAAACACTCAACTTTCATCAAGTAAAAGACTTCAGCATCAGTTTCAGGTGGATTTTCTGTGGAAGAAGAACTCAAAAATGGAAAACTTATTTGATTTTGAAGGCGGCTCTGTGGACTACAGAGCGTTCAGCACTTCAGCTGATCCAAAAGACGAACTCATCGCAAGTTTGACATCTTTCATAAAACTCTACAGTCAACATAAAAATTCCCTTCAGACCACTTCAGAAAGCTTCAGAGCTGCTCAACTTCATGAAATGCCAGTTTCTGGGAGTACGGCGTTCCACAGTCTGTGCTCCCTCTTCGGAGGAGTTACTGGTGCAACTGGTGGAGGCCTTTCGGGTGGAGTATTCGGGGCATTTGGGGCTATTGGCGCAGTAACTGTCAGCCGGTTCTGTGATGATGATATTAAGGCAATCGGTGCAACTGTTGGCGTTGTCGGCAGCGTATTAGGTGGTGCGGCTGGGGGAGCACTCGGCGGCGCTGTCGGCAGCACAGTCGGAGCTGCAGTTGAAGCAACAGGTAGCCGAGTTGATGCCGTCGTCAGCAACGTAGCATCGTTCGCCATCGGCCTTGCAACTGGTAGTGCAATCGGTGGTATTTTTGGAGGGGCGGTTGGAGCAGCAGGCGGTGCGTTTGGTGGTGCTTTTGGTGCTTTGTGCACTACGAAGGTTGTTGTGAATATGGTGGGAGAAATGGTGCGTGCAGCCAAAAATTCAGACTGTAAAAAAATGAAGGTGAACGTGATGCAGAAAACTGGAGATTTCAGTAAAGCCTTCAAACTGCTGGTGGAAGAGCTGAAGACAATCAAAGCTCTTTGTGACAAAATGGCCTCCAGTGACGTCGTGCGCAGTGTCGCTGGACAAACCGCGAAGACGCTGGCTTCTGTCGCCACGATGGAGGAAACTCTCAGGGACTCTCAGAGCGCCGCAGATCTGCCACAGTTTGTTTCCAGTGTTGAAGAAGCAGCGAGACTAAGCAAGAACATCACAGAGGAAGTGGAGACGACGAGAACAGAAGTGGAAAAACTTTTGGTTTTATTGAGGAAACCCTGAACAACATCAGTAAACCAAGAACTGGACTCAGAATACCTTTTTTAAAACTATTAATAACTCATTAAAAACAAAGTCTGTTAAGGTAACTTGGGTAAATTAAGTTAATTGTACTAGTTAAGTTAAGTTTTACAGTGTAGAAGTTAATATATGGGAATTAGTTACAGCGAACACATTCAATATTTAGAAGTATTGATCTAGTGGTTTAAAATACACCAGACTTGAACTCATTTTAGTGGGTTAAAGGATACCTTCAGTAAAAAACTGCTATAATGTCCCAGAGCTGATGTATTTAAATGCCTCATTTTGTCCAATATATCAATAATAATCAGTTAACTACAATATGTGATAATATAAGTGTTCATCATATTCGAGGAGCTTTAATCAATTAATTTGTTGATTAAAAATGATTAGATTTAATCCATTTAAGGACTTTCAGCTCCAATCCCTGTTGAATCATCAGTGTTAACTTTATTTTTCCACATTAGATGTGAGTAGGACAGTAAACACTGACTGTAGATGAATAATTGGCCTCATGAGAGAGAACTTTTTCTCCTGAGAGCTGCCGTTTTGATCGATTTTTAAAGATCTGCAGAGCGCAAAGGTGACAAGCATAGAAGCTGCCACAATTTTATAAACTCCAAACTCCCTAAAGAGTAAAAAAATACACCATCGAGGGTTTAAACTTCATGTTCAGTGTTTAACTCTCAGATATGAAGCACTGGTTTCTTCTCAACTCGCTCTCTAAGTTGTGATTCTAGTGTTTTTATGAGCTGTTCCTCATGAGATTCCTCCTCTCGTCTGCATCTGTTGTCTGCCGCCTCTTTATTTGAAGCAAAAAGTTATTTTATTCTCCTTCCAACACCTGGCAAACAGTTTGACATTTTTGATGGAAATTAATTCTAAAACTCAAAGTTGGACGTTGTCCTAACAGATGGTCCTTTAAAACACACACAGGTTTATAATTGACTCATTTCTAAAGACCAAAGAAACATATTCAGGAATCTGTCATTCAGAATCAGCAGGTGTGTGTTTATCTTTTAATTACAGAAACTGTTCGAATCTGGATTGTACAGATACTACAGGACGTTTTACACCGTAGCTGTAACATTATGAGAAAATTGCAAAAATAAGGTCATAATTTTACAAGAAAAGTCAAATTATTAGTTTTAATTGCATAAAAAATTTAAGTTTTGTGTACATCCAATTTTATAAAATATAATCTTGATATAAGAATAAAGTCGTAATTTTATGATAAAATCATAAAACAGAAGATTATCTTTCAACTAAAAACAGATTAATGTGGAAATAAATGTGAACATATTATTAAACCTTGAAGAGAACAAATAAGACTTCCTTTGACCTTCAGAATAAAAGTTTTAAACTAAAATATGTTTGTTACACAGTGACCAAGACTTACTGCAGCAGTTAACGACTGTAGTGAAAACAGGAATATTGAATATAAAATGTGGTTCAATAAACGTAGTTAAATTTTTTATTTAGCTTATTGTTTATTTTAGAAATGACTGATTTTTTTTAAAATTAGCATATTTTATGCTAAATGTCATACACCCTCTTATTTTTTACAAAATGTAACTAATATTTTTTCTGGAACAAAAGGATTAGTTACTTTTTTTGTATCCTGATTACGTAACTTACTACATGTAATCTGTTACTCGCCAAGCCTGACGATGGATCCTATTGTCTCTGTTGATCCTCTGATTTTCCTCTAGCGCCACCTTGAGGACAACATTTAAATTTAAACTCGGGTTTATGACCAAATACACAAAAGTATCCTTTGCTCAGAGTATTTTTAAGAAAAATTGTAATCCTGCTTATTATATTTTTTACCTTTGTTTTTCTGTAACTGCACTCTTGTATTAGTTACCCTGTTTGTATCCTGATTACTTAACTCAGTTACATGTAATCCATTACTCCAGACTCCTGATTACGTCGTACAAATGACCCTAAAAAGCAAGAAGACAGTGAATCACAAACGGTATAAAATGTTTTATTTGTTGAAATGCAGAAGCAGAGTAGAAGTTCCTCATTCGTACACTTCAGTATTAAAAATAATTTAAATATATTACAAATCTAAATTTTGAGAGACCTACTGGAGGACAAAGAGATGGTGATTAATATTCTATTTAAAATAAAACCAATTAAAAATCACGTCTTTTTTTAAAATGCATTTTTAAGAAAGCTATCAAAATGATTTACGAGCGGTCCGTCCGTCGTTCGAGTCACTTCTCGCTCTGAGCCGCGTTAATGAAGCACTCTTCCATGTAATTGTCTTAACGAGCTCAGCAGACATCCAGTGTCGTTAGCATCAAGTGCTGCTAATATTCACTCTCTTTAACATTCGATTATTCAAATCACAGAGCGTTTCTACAATCATCCAGCTTCATACTTTATTCAGAAAGGTGCCTCGCTGTATCAGACCGTGTTCAGTTGTTCAGATTGGTGTTTGTGTCTGTTGGAAACATTTTCACCTCTGCATTCTCAAACATGCGAGAGAGCGAGCTCGTTGCCACAGTGAGTTTAAACGTCTAATCTTTTGTGCTTTTCTAGCTTTCAGTCTGGTCTGTAGCTTTCAGAGCGAGATGTCTGAGGACACGTGGAGCTGTTGTCCCGGTTTCCACTTGGCGCTGCGTCGGCCGGCGTCTGTCCGTCTGTACGGCTGGTTCCTTAAATCTGAAGACAAACACACACACACACACACTGAGGAACTACCTGGTAATGTATACATCAAAACATCTATGCTGTAACATTAAGCTTCAGTTTAGAGTCATAAACCCTTTTTAAATATGCAATGTAGCCAAAAGTTTGTGGACGCCCCCTTTTAGTCTGGAGCTGTTTTTCATATAATGCTGCAGCACAATATTGTAGTATAATGTGTAATGTAATATCTTGTGGAAGTCTCATAGAGGGGGTTAACTCACTTAATTTTGGTTTATTAACATGAGAAATTGAAGGTGATACTGGTTACTTGTTTGGAATTAATTCAGTTACTTGAGGCGTATGTAGCTCTATGCCAAGAGTCACCGCTTGTGCGTTGTTAGGATGTACACACAGCAGAAATATTCACAGCCACTGCTAATCAGACCAACACTTTACAGACGCTTCTTGTGTGTCTTTTTGGGGCAGTGTGCATCACCGTGATGGACGCCTATAAACAGGAAGAGAAGATGTTTCTACAGACTTTTTAGTGGGGTTGTTACTCAGAGTGACTTTTGAGCATAAAGCAACCAAATGTATTATTTATTTAGCTGAAAACCTCAATAGTTTACATGGAGACTGTAAGGGCAGCATTTCCAGAGGATCGCGCTATGGAAACCGGTTTCAAAAGTTTGTATTTTCAGGCCCCAAGGGAAGGGTGAACGAAAGGCCAAAACACAACACAAATCTACTGTTTTATGCAAAAAACGTCACATAAACATGGGTGCTAGGGTGCTTCTTTGTGCTAGGATTGCATACGGGGAAGTTCATTTCAGATTTATAGCTCAAAAGCTAAAGTTGGGCCTCTGAGAACCTGCGTAAACAAAGATTTTTATGCTACCATATCTTTTTTACAAATCAAATGTAAGAACACTGAAATGATGTTAAGGCTAATTCACGAATAAATCTAAGAACAGTTTTATAAAAGATGCCTCAGAACTGTATCGGTGTTAAATCAAAAATAAATCTGAGTAATTTGCCGTTGAGTTTGAAATACTTTTTGTTGTTGTACTTTCAGTAACAATGAATGTGCCGCTTTTAAAAAGGGATGAAAGGAGCCGACAGTTTGAAATGAGCTGGAAGAGAGACCCCGACGTCTCTGGAGGAAACTCTCTGTCGCAGCGCATAAAGACGGTAAACAGCTCCCAGAATCCTCTTTCATGAGCAGACAGTGACTTTTAAATTTGCATTATAGTGAGAATATTATATAGGAGACAATAATAATATCTGTGCACTTTATTATTTACTGTCTGTCTGCCTGCAACTGAGATTAGAGGCTACATCTGATGTTTTATAACACATAGTGACCAGAGAAAGTGGTATTTTTGTGCTACATATAAATAAATACAGAACATTAAATGAGCTGTACCAGAATATTGTTAATGAATAATCATGTGTCAGTCTGTAATATGATGTTCCCCCCAATAAAAGACAAAGATGTGAGTGTTGTTGAATGTGTTTCAGGTGCACTGAGAGAGCAGCAGCTTCTGTTCCCTGTAAGGAAACACCAGCAGAGTGGAAGACAAACACACCCACGGAGCACCGAGGGATTTTAAGGAGTCACCTCGTCGCTGAAGACGGAGTCGCAGAAGAGACGAGAGGAACGTTTGGCAGAACGAGCCGTGAAGGGCACGGACTTTAGAGCTGAAGACACCAGAGAGACAGCAGGGACAGGAAGAGACAAACAAGAGAAGCAAGGACAAATGAAAGTGAGAAGTTAAGGAAAAAAGCTTAAAAGAGTGAACAGGATGAAATGTTTACTGCAGTTTGAATAAGGAAAGGAGGCAGGTTACAGTCAGAGTTCCCTTTTTATGGAATTGTTTGACATTTAGGGGAATAAACATTATTTATTATTATTTCATTCTGAAAGTGAGATGAAAAGATATCATGTCTATTCATTTCATACAGAGCTGGACGTAACAATGTGGTTAGCTTAGCTTATAATATTTCCGGGATCTTAAAATACAATTTTCTGTCTTTATTATCTATTTTTTTTTAATCTATAAATCATTTTAACAATCACAAAGTTTTCTTACACCCCTTAGAAATCAAGAAGGCCTCGCAACCCACCATGAAGCTTTGGTGACCCCTAGTGGGAGTCCCGACCCCCAGGTTGGGAACCACTGCAGTAAAGTTACTGTAACAGACTGTGAGTGTGTGTGTGTGTGTGTGTGTGTGTGTGTGTGTGTGTTCCCCTGGGGCGCTGGGTACCTGTGATGATGTCCTCGATGGCTCCATCCTTCCCCTCCCTCACCAGAGGAGACACCTGCCTCCTCTTCAGCTCCGCTATCAGATCCATCTGAGGCAGTTTGGACGTGACAGGAACCTGAAACATCAAACGCGTCGATGTCAAACCTTTAAAAGAATCATTCCGCTTTCTAACAGCTCGGATCTTATTTTGGGACTTTTGACTCGGCTACTACTCATAAGAAGAAACATCCAGTTTTATTTATATCGCTCAGATTCGAACTCATAAATGCCCCTCACAGTGCTTTACAATCTGTACAGCATGTGACAGACTCCCCCCCGGAGGGTAATAATAACACAGCACAGGACGGGAAATACGAGCAGTCAGACAATCAGACAGGTTGTAAACAAACCTGCAGCTTAGCCAAGTTGATTTGCTTCGGCCTCAGTCAGCGTGTGTGTATTAATACTTCTGTGAGTCACTTTCACTTGTGTGTTTCAGTCTGAGCCTTCACTTACAGCCATCTTGGACCGGACCACATTTACCTTGTTGTGCTAATTTCTACATATTATATTATTTAACTGTACACAGAAATCTGTTGTTGGGGACACTGGGGAGCAGGTTGTTTTTCTTTTTTTTGTAAAGGTAAGTGCAGAGGTACTTTGAACGTTACACAGAAGCAACACATTTTCCGCCTATTTTATGTTCTATCTCTGTGAATTAAAGGTTTATTTTGACCAAACCAGAGTTGGTGATTGTTGGACAGACTGTGGAAAGATGGTTTTGTTGAGTTTTATTTGGTTTCTCTCCAGTTTAAAAGGGTAAAGTTTAAAATGACCGCTTTTGTTTATGGAGTTTGGTTGGCTGTAGTGCCCGTTGTTCTGGTCTGAGATGCTGGTGCTCTAGTGCGACATCTAGTGGCGAGTGAGTTTTGTACACATAACCTTTAAATACAGGTTAAGTACTTAGTTTCAAATGAGGACTTGAAATTTAATGCAGTTTCTTTTTGTTCAGTTAAGTTTCAATAAAATGTGTTACGATATCTGCGAGGTAAAATGACAGTTTTTTTCAGTGGAGTCTGGTAGCTTTGAACAGAAGGATATAACGTCTGTTTCTAGTTAAACTACAGGTCTATCTTTATAGGGATCCTTTTCATAATGTCACACTGAGCCGATCAGTGCCAAAAATGGATGTACTTTGACTGTACACAATTCCCCCAAAGGACACAGTTGCAGCCAGTTTCTCGGCTGCCGGCTGCAGTGCTCTGCCGCAATACTGGACCAACTTCAAAAATTGTCCTATTAGTCACTTAGACACATAAACATTGGAGAATAAAGTCCAGGGAGAAAAATATTGAAGTTCCCCTTTAATTTGGTGAGCACAGTGTTGTTATAACCAATAAAAATTCTGGACAAAACTATCCAAATAAGATCTACGTCGCAGTAAACAGGTTCTATTAGCAGTTGGCAGGAGGCACCTCAGTGGCCGCTACTGAGAGAAGTCGAGCTTGTTTGTTGTTTTCTGTTGCTGCTTGTAGTGTATTGTGTTACCTTGTTCCCAGTGACTTCAGGTTTAGGTGGAGTTGACGGCGTTTCGCAGTTCAGGACGTGTTTCTTCCTCTGCTCGTTCTCCTGCTCAGCTTGCTGTCAGAAGAAAAAAAACACCACTGTTTCAGTATCTTCTTATCTACGTCTGAAGGTCAGGTATCGAGTATACAGTAAAAGCTGCTTATCAGAGAAGCAGACATCTGTCCGTTCATTCATGCCCAGCAGTCAATAAAACCTGCGTTATCTGACCTTGTACGCTTTGATGAACCTGACAAAAACAGGGAAGAACACGGAGGGTGGAGTGGTTTTAGAGTTCTCTCCGAAGTACTCCACAGCCGAGTCGTACACATCCTGGAAGAGAGAGAAGATCTTCAACTCGTGACCCAAATAAAGTGTAGGAATATATGACCATTGTCTTCTCGAAGTAAGAACATCTCATGTGCTTAAGGTTTATTTTTGGGGTAATTAAAGCTGACCTGGGCAGTTTTTCCGTCAGCTATGAGCGAGTGGAGCAGCTCCGTGTTGCTGAGGAACGTCTGCAGCACCGGGTTGTCTTTTTCTACAGAGAACTCCCTCCTGGTCACCTCCATGCCTCTCTCCAGAGCGCGCACGTCCTGCAGGATGCTGTCCAGAGACACTACGACAAAGGCAAAAAGGCAAAAAATAGGGCTTCAATTTAACGTTTTCTATCATTGCTCACCTGCAGCCGCACGCACCTTAGGTTTCTTTATAGTTTAAAATTAATAGTTAATTATATTCACATCAGCAAACAGACAAATAGCTTGACCTCCTAAAAGCTTAATTTATTTCTTTAGACAGGGTTTCTGCAGGTTTTAACCTTTTAAAATACCATTCATGACCTTTTTAAGAACTTTATGAATGCATGTTAAGACCTATTTTACATCCATATTGGCAAAGAAAGTACAAAGGATATGAAGGAAAATCAGTATTGGTTCTGTGTCAGACCAAAATGTATTCATCCCCAAAACACATTTAAAAGTGAGACTGAGAAATGTAACATTATACAAGGAACATTAACTAAACATTTTAAATAAAGAATATTTTAAAAGATGACAAGAATAAAAGAATTAATCAGATTTAAAATCAGATTTAAGAAAAAAGGATTTTTAGACTTTTTAAGATCCTGTGAACATCCTGTAGAGTGATTCATATTTTTGTTAAAATTCAACATCTAAAACCTAAAACAAAATGGTGCAGCAGCTAAAATAAATATCAAATAAAATTCTGGTGCACAGGTGGACAGTAAGTGTACAGTGTCTATGTACGTAATGAGAACAGGTTGTAGCTCATAAACAGGTAATATAATAATAATAATAATAGACATAATGAGATGTAAATGGTTGAGTAAGCAGGTGGAATATAGAAGGTATGGGTAGAATATATATAAACAGTACCAATAAGTTTATTACAAGTACAGTTCTGTTTGTTCTTTTTATTTTATTTTTATACTTATTTATTCTTTTGTTGCACATTTTGTAAAATATTTCTTTCATTTTTGGGCAAATTAAAACTTCTTTTTGTAAATCCTCCTGGCGCCTGCGGGCTCGCTCCCTCACACCGACGTTACAGTAATTATATTATGTGGTATTAATGCTGATTTAAAGGTCACGCTGTGGTGTCGGGGGTGAGAGGAAAGATAACCCGCACAAAGGAAAACTGATGAACAAAGTGATCTTCCTGCTGTCGTAACTCCTCATTAACATTTCAAACACACTCACATCTGCCACTGTGACTGAATGTACGACCCATAAATCCATTCAGTTTAATACAGGACACAACTGGCTTAAATACTGATGTTAAAGAATGTACATGATTTCTGCCATATTTAGCTTTTCCTTTATTTTGTGCTGAATAATTTCACTCAAATCTGTCATATTGCCATTAAAGGAAAAACCTGGTGTTATTCTATATGACTGACTGTCAACAAATCCTATGAAAAGACCAAAACCAACATTTTCTGCTCTGTGGCTCAGCCCCAAGAACATTCGTTCCTACTGAAGACGTAAATCTTTTTACTGCTGCAGAGACTGGGGATGATAACTTCCAGAAGGAGGGGGGGCACTACAATCTACTGCTGCTGCACCTCAACACTTCATGTGCTCACCCAGCGCCGCCTTGTCCAGGAAGTGCAGCTCTGTGTAGAAGGACTGGACCTCCGGGTATTTCTCCTGGATGATACTGGCGATGAAGTGCAGCAACGTCTGCTTACGGTCGGTAGATTTGGTGTCTAACAGCTAAGAAACGGGACAGAAAATGATTGGATTACTAATAGAAATCGTCAATACTAGTCATAAAAAGCTGTTTCGTGGTTGTAGTACAAAGAAAATAGACACACTGTGGAGTTTAAATGCACTTTGTACTCACCAAATCTAAACTCTGCAGGCGGAAGCCGTATGCTGCCCCTCGTTTGCTGCTGTTCATGTAGTTTCCAAACGCCAAGATGATCTTTAAATTAGAAACAGAGTCAGACACTACAGCATCAAAATCTGCCCATAAAGTATAAGACACCGAAACCACTGCTGAAGTGTACATGTACATGAATATACAGGGCGACCAATGAGACGATTTCTGTGAGTGACGATGCAAAAGCTTAATGTTCAGCTTTATAAAGAGAGTTTTTGTTAGAAAAACCTCATGAGGTTCTTCATTACTCCTCTTCAGAAGACTTATTGCTCCACATTGTCCAGCTGCCGGAGCCAGTGTGGGTCATATATTCTGGTCCTGCCCATTATTAAAGTTCTTTCTGGCAGGAGGTTCATAAAGTTTTACCAAAAGTACTCCAGGTGGGCATTTAGATTGGAGATCTTGTATCTGTGTGTCCCGCTTATATCCCAATAAAAAAAATTAAAAAAGGAATGTCACATAAAACATTATATTTTAAATGAAGAACTTTATCTCATTTCTGTCTCAAACTATAAATAAAATTTGCCCCAAAAGTTTCCTTCCTAAAGAAGTATTTTCTAACTATTCAACCAGAAAAAAAAATCACTAAAGAAGAACAACTTTTTACTAGGTTTAGCCCTTAAGTCATCACATAAAGAGCAATAAAACCCTCTGCCTGTGTTGTATCGCAGCCTCTCTGTGGTTTGTTTCCATAGCCGGTCTGCTCCGACTGAAACTGCTGTTTTTATCATCTACGTTGGTGAATTAAGGATTTATTTGCACCAAACCAGAGTTGGTGATTGTTGGAAAAGTAGGAAAGGTTTTGTTGAGTTTTATTTAGTTTCTGTCCACTTTGAATGCAGTTACGATGATCTGTGAGGTAAATTTACTGTTTTTGTCTCTGGTGGAGAGTGATAGTGATATTACGGCTGTTTCTGATTAAAATAAAGGTCTATCTCTGTAGGGAGCTGAGCAAAAACAAGCATGTTTAGTGGACGTACTTTGACGGCTGCATTTGTTACCAAGGTTTAAGTTTTAATTTACTTCTGGCAAAAAAGAAGCACTTTTAGTTCACATACATACTGACTGGGTTAACTAACGCTAAGCCATAGCAGCCCGTTTTCTCATCTAACACTGAGAATTAATGGTTTATTTCGACCAAATCGGAGTTGGTGATTGTTGTAAATACTGTGGAAAGACTAACAAAGACAGTTTTGGTTAGTTTTATGATTAATTGCTTGGTAAAATGACTGGTTTTATCTATGGAGTCTGGTTGGCTGTAGAATCTATTGTTTAGGTGATGCTAGTGCGACATCGAGCAAGTGAATTTTATATATATAACCTTTAAATACTGGTAAAATACTTAAATACAGACTTGAAATTGGCTGCAATCACTACTGCAATTATTACACAACTGAACTCTACAATACAGAGTTGGTTTTTATGCACTCAGATTCCCATTAAAAGGGTTATTCAACTTCCAGCCTTTGCAATTAGCACCCAACTGTGCAATTTCACAAATGACTCTGTATCGCTCATAGAGGCATAATGCAGAGTCAGAGTTAAAGTGCAATCTCTAACATTACTCACACAGCAGCTGGGGGTTGTTAATAGACGGTTCTAGACTCACCTCGAGGATTTTCTTCAGCTTTCTGGAAGATTTGATCGACATCGAGGCGGCGATGAGGGCATTCAGTTGCTGTCAGAAAGAGTTGGAAAGGTTGAGATTATTATTTGTTTCTGGACTCAGATCTAAGCTGTATAAGATTACAACAGCCTGTCATGAATAACTCTCATTCAGGGCTCTTCGGTTTAAATGTATTCAAATTTCAATATCTTTCATTACTGCCAATACCATATTTAAGCTTTTGTTCTTCACAGAAGTGAACCAAATGCTGAAATATAGGTCTACTGTGTATATTTTGTTTTGTTTTCTAGCACGCCTTAAAATCAAGAAGGCGTTGTGACCCCACGTGAAGCTTTGGCGACCCCCAGGTTGGGAACCACTGGTCTCTTATTTAAAATACAGTTCAAGCAACAGAATCCAGCTGAACCCCCTCCTGAACTCACAGGCTGTATGAGCTGGACGCTCTCGGGGAAATTGCCCATGAAGGTGAGAGTGCTGATGCGCTGGGAAAGCCGCGGGATCTTGCTGAAGCGCACCATGAAGAGGTCCTCCTCGCTGAGCTCGTCCAGGGGCCTGCCCTCGCACTCGTAGTTGTGGATGAGCTTCATTTCGTAATCCGTGGGGATGAAACGCTCCAGGAGCTCGAGGAAGTCCAGGCTCAGAGCTCTCTGGTTGTACCTGTGGGGGACGCAGTGAAGGTTCTCACTCGTGTACAATAATGAAACTCAATTCAGATGGAAATATCATCCAGGACAGGAGATTCTGCTGTTTTATAGTCGTATTATTTTGGTACATACGTCTCTATTGCGCAGCAGATATCAGATGCAGCCATTCCTTCCTTGCGCAGGGTGATAGCCAGGTTTTTGGCCCTGTTGGGCTCCATTAGAGACACTTTACTGGGGGTCTTGTGGGCCATTTTCATCTTGAGGGTACCCAGGTTTATAGGCGTGGACTGGGCCTTGGTCTTAAACTGCTCCTCAAAAGCCGCCATGTTGAGCTCCTAAGAAAGGGAAGAGAAAGAAATACGAAGAGAGAGAATTCAAACTGACGGATGTGGTTCAGGTGTTGGTGATGCAGCTAACAGACGGACGATACAGCAGGAAAAAGCACAGACAGACTGAGACGGTGGAAACATGGCGTGGTCCAAACCTCTAAGACTTGCTCGTCGTCCAGCTCGTTGAAGATGGTTCCTGTCACCTGGTTGGATTTGAGGGCCTGCCAGTTTAACAGCGGCATGCAGTATTTGGTCTGAATGGGCTTTTTAGTTTTACAATCTAGAAGAAAGAATGAAAAAAAAGGTTGTTTATTTTTTTATCTTTGCTTTTTCTTGCAATATTTTACGTTTGACATCTTCAGCCATCTAAATGTAGCTTTTTTTAATTAAAAGTTTGTTAAAAACTGTTGAATATAAATGGCATTAGTCTGACTCGACGTCCAGATGGCCAATTATCAGACTAAATAACACACTGCCAGAACACATAAATGGACTAAAGCTGTTTTCCCTAAACACTGTCATAATGTGACAGTTTCAGAATTTAAATCACATAAAAATAAACAAAAAGCCTCTAAAGTTACCCCCCCCCCACCAGCTCTCACTGTGGACTCACCTGAGCTCCCGTCCCCTGATGTCTGGGTCGTACCACCTCCAGCAGCAGGCAGCAGGGGTGGAGGAGCTGCTGGTGGTGGTGGCGGCGGAGGAGGAGGAGTTCTGGTTGAGCCTGGAGGTGGAGGCGGAGGAGGAGGAGGTGGAGGAGGAGGAGCTTGCACTGTCGCTGACTGCAGAGGACCCTCAGAGAGGAGGGGGGCATCAGCCTTGTGGTCATTACCGGAGTCTGCTTCTTCTTTAGCTGTTGGGAACAACGATGTGGTCTGTACGTTTATAAAACCTCGAGATAAATCTTAACTTGCTGATGCTCAATGCTTATACCTGTTGAAGTGGTCACATGATCAGACCATGTTCAGCAGAGGAAAAGTCCCACACAAAATAAGAGAGGAGTCAACTCCAAAGCATCCAAATCTGAATCTTCATCTATGATAAATCCCACTGGATCTTAAATCGGAGGCGTGTTGCTGATTGTTATTAGCTTAGTTAACACTCCCTAAACAGTATGTAAGGGCGGGTGGTGTGCAGTGTGCACATGGCCAACGATAGATAGATAGATAGATAGATAGATAGATAGATAGATAGATAGATAGATAGATAGATAGATAGATAGATAGATAGATAGATTCCAATAACTGCTGGAGTGTCCAGAAATGTTCATGTTTCTACATTTAGAAATCTTTTGAATCGCTATCTTTCTTATTTTTATTTCATCAAATTTGATGAAATACAGGTCAAATGTTTGTATTCTTTATATTTATGACTCAATTTCAATACTTTTATCAATTATTTATCGACTTATATGACATTGTAGCTCAGGTTGAACAGATAATGGGAATATGAATCATTTCCAGATACTCACAATAAGCAGAAGTACCAATTAATCAGTGGTGGACCGTTTTTATTGCGGAGTTCAGAGGGTTAAATCTGGTCCACAAATACATTATTATTTTTGTCTAATTTTAGTTGTTGTTTAGTTGTTAGTTGTTTTTTTTAAAGCAATTATTACATTTTCAAGCAAAGCTGCAAAAACAGAACATTAAAATAATGACTTAATGTCCTTTTAAACCTAAAATACTACAGGAGAGGTGAAATACCCCCACAGTGCCCCGGCTCTGACCTTTTTGTATCACATGCTGGATGACGGGGACCACCTGGATGTCCAGGTGTCCAGAGGGGGAGCGTTCCATTCGGACCAGCCCCTGCTCCACCAGAGCCTGGACTTTAACCTCCAGCTCCCTGAGGGCCTCGGTGGATCGGTCCTTGTCCCGCTCTCTCTCTCTCTCCCCCTCTCGCTCGAGCTCCCTCTCTTGTTCCCGCTGCTGCAGGAGGGTCACCTGGGCGCAGGACTCACGCAGACTCTCCTACGACACAGACACACCAAGAAACATCAGCAGGTCCGTGTTTGTGGACCACGATATCGCCGTAAAGTGGCCAGTCTGGAGCACACCATGTGGCCAAAAGTATGTGGACACGCAGCCTCCACTCAGTTGGGAGTAGAGTACATGTTTCAACCCCGAATAATTAGTAATCTATGAAACGGATGAAAATAAGACCCAAACATGAAGAGGAGAGCGGCGTACGTTACCTTCAGGAGCTCCACTTCTTTTGTGGTCTGAATGAGCTTCTTCTCCAAATCGGAGACTTTCTCCATCGCCTCCCTCTCACTCTCCTGAAGCCTGCTGCTCAACTGTGACACCCAAACACAACTTTCATTCATGCATCATGATTACATAGATTATACAGGCGTGTGTGTGTGTGTGTGTGTGTGTGTGTGTGTGCAGTATCTCTACCTGTGTGTTGTGTTCCTGCAGCTCCTCCATGTGCTCCAGCAGAGCGTTCTTGGTCTCTGCGTCCTCCAGCAGAGCTCCCACATCAAACACGTTGTCCAGATAGGCCTGAATCTGCACCAGCAGTCTGTCGCTCTCTGTGAACTTCAGCGTCTGCACACAATGAATGCTCTATAATGTTCCACATTTCAAGGTTTTAATGTAAGGGACTATAGGAGTATGGGGGTCAAAGGTCAAACTTGCCTCTAGGTAGTCGTCCAGCCCATGACGAGTGAACTCGTACTGCAGGTGGACCCTGAAGTTCATGTTTTCCACTGAGTGCACCACGATGTTGATGAACTGCATACAGGCCACCTGGTGGGCAGACACAGTAAATACAGAGACATTAATCTTCACACACAGGCTGCTAGTTGAAGGCAGGCAGAGAGAAGCATTTTCCAGGACCTTTCCAGGACCTTTCCAGGAGTTTTTTCACAATACAGTACACCACTGGCTCATAGGGTTATATAATTTACCGTTAGGCCTCATACTGACACATTTAACCCCAGTTTTACTCCTCTATTTTAAAGATTAGGGGTTTACTAGGGGAGACTCCACATGACTACAGTTTTCCTCTAAACTTTTGCAGACATTTTTGTCCTTTTTGTGGACCCATAAATTCAAATTAAGCAGAATTTTTATTTTATTTTACAGAAATTAATCTTCTCACCTTTTGGCCTTTTAAAATAAGAAGTAGAAAGTGTTTGTTACACGTACAATTAACACTGCTGTGCCTGTATTTATTAACCACAAGAGAATTCTGTTCGTGGCTCCAGAAAAAATAGACTCGATGCTGAAAAGATTGCTGAAAGTCCAGTCTGGTAAACCTGCCTTTGAAGTGTCGCACCGCGCAAGTTCTCCATCCAGCAATGGAGTTTCAAACAAAATACGTAGGCAATCTGAGTGAAGAGCTAAACTAGAATTTTTCCAGGATATTTGGTCATTTTAATAATGGAAAACTAGTCTAGAAATCTCCAGGTTTTCCAAGAATGCTTGGGAACCCAGAATTTTACTCAAATGTTCAACAACAAGTGTGATTATTATTGGTAGTGATTATGTAATTATGTCAGGTTTTAGTAGTTTGTGAAGCAGAATTGTGAGTCTTAAAATAAAATAACTGAATATCTTTGTTTTTTAGACCAAGCGATTCATTCTATGACACTGCAGCAACCTCGCCCTCAGTGTACGTTTATGCTGCATTTACATTAAATTCAATGTTTGCATTGAGTTGACAGCTGAAAACAGCGACTTACCAATGTGCACATGTTGTGAAAGTAATATTAGTTCAAGCAAATGAGCTTAGCAACATTAAAAAGTATTCAGCTCAGTGTCATATCCATTTTACATAACTGCACACAATCTGTTTAGTTAACAAGAAGACTGACATTCTGTCTGAGAGCGTTCTGTTATAAGACTGATTACTCCTGTTCTTTCTTTCTTTTGTTTTTTACATGAAGGCTGGATTTAAATGCTTGTAGCGTGTTTATATGTAACAACAGAACAAATGTAAGTGTATAGTCTGTCAGAGTAAACATACAACTAGTCAGTTCCATTATTTTACATACAAACTTTACATTATGGAAGCTCTGTTGGAAAATGGAGTTCTCCTTTAATTACAATGAGCTTTTACTGATTAGCAGCATCAGTCTCAGACAACCAGGATCAATCAATCAATCGATCAACTCCTCTCTCTCTGTGCTATTACTGTACTATCCAAGGTGGTGCTACGTAGGGTTGGGAGGGTAAAAATGTAATCTGATACAATAACTAAAAAATTTAGTCAGTAATCCAAGTATCACAATATGAAAGTAACTTGATTACTTTCTGGTACTTTTGGATTACCTCAACAACAAATAAAGAGAAATTAAATATCAATAAGAAATATGAATGTAAGTAACGATGTGAGAAAACGGAAATGTGACCTCTGCTCGTGTGTTTTTAAAGAAAAACTGTATTTTAAAGTTGTAATCTCGCTAATAATCCCAAATATTACTGAATGTAACTGTAATGTCTTGTTTTCTGGAACTGTAACAGATCACAGTTACCATTATTTTGGATCCTGATTAAGTTACATGTAATCTGTTACTCCCCAAACCTTGGATTACAGGCTGGGTCTTTGACACCATATGATACAGTACCATACACAGCTCCGGATACAGATCCATAACCTTGTATTGGACCGTTCTGGGCTGGTTGCTGCTGCCCGTCCTACTTCATATATCTGACACACAGGCACAGATTTACCATGAAGTCGATGTTGCTGTCTTCCTTGCAGAAATACTCCATGAGCTTCTCAAAGCGACTTTTCTCTCCACACACCTGAAAAACATTAAAAAGGAGCAAGAATTACAATCAGATCCCAGCAGGCACCTGGAAGAGAGGAACCACAGCTCTTTTGTTCTTTTTACTGAGAGTATCTGTCGGAGCGTTAAATCTGGGTGAAGTCCTTCGAGACGTGTTTTTGATGATGGACCGGATAAATAAACTTCTGCATTATGCCACATGTACACACATGGGGGCAGTGTGCTCACACAGCCACAGATTACAAACAAACAATATTACAGTAAAGCTTTTAACTATCTAGACACGACTCACACAGTGTGTTAATTATTATTATATATAATTATGTATACCCAATGACAGTGCTGTATTGATACAGGAGAATAGCTGCTGTTTGTTGTGAATATAGTTCCAGATTCAGCCCAGTTTAGGGATGCAAATAATGGAAAAACAGTTAATATATAATTTAACTTTTACAGTAAATTAAGGGCTAATAATTCACAGTAATTATTTTAAAATAATATAGATCAAAATCCCAGTAGTGCATTGTGTTTCTACAGTAACCAGTCATTATATTACTGTAAAAATACAGTATTTTTAACGTGAAATGACAATATATTGTAATAATTCACAACATTCGGCTGTAATATTCAAATATATTCAAAATGTCATTCCAGTAGTTTATTGTGAGAATTTCTTGTAAAAAACCTGCTGCTACACTCTGCATTGTGCAGGATAATTGCTATGTCAGACAGACTCGTGTGCTCTGCAGCGAGCTGTTGCATAAACAAGCCTTCAGTGTTTTTCCCTTAAAGCACAGCGAGCGAGGAAAATGTGGCTGAACCATAATTGTGTTTTCTTTAACTAACAGCTCAGCAGATTTCCTGTCTCGTCCATTAGCAGCAGTCTGTCTGTGTCTGCAGTCTCTTACTCTGCCTCCCTCCCCACCTTTTTTTGCCCACTCATGTCCACTAAATAATGCAGCACGCCAACCTGACAGCCTGCACCACCCAAAACAAAGCCCACGTTCTGCTACTGAGGGACACATAAGCCGGCTCCTGGCTCGGCGCCGCCTGCCTCTACTTTACGGCCACGAGCGATCTATCTGGCTCTCGCCCACGTACACGTCGGCGTCACTGCGGTACCAAAACAAGTGCCACTCAGCGTGATACTCAAGTCACCGCTGTGGAAACTGATACCGCACCAATCAATCAGTCAGGTTTTTTAATTTATCACTCCTTTAAAGGATAAGTCTGGTAATTGTTTTTTAATATTATCCCATAAAAAGATCAAAACAAACAATGCTAGAACTGCTAACAACTAGAAAGCCTCATTTATCTGCTTCCTCTGGGCCAAAAACCATTAAAACCACATCAGTGAGCCACACTGTTGCACTGGGTGATATGTTCCTTCATTACCAGGCCCCAAATACTCGCTACAGCACCAAATGTGGATTAATCCGCCGCTGAAAATAGTCCCCAACAAATGCACTATTTACTGATGTTAGAAGAAAACTACAGTGAGCAGCTGTTTCAGGAAACTACTGAACCTTTTTACAATGAAACTTTAGATTTGTGAGCCGTTTTTTAACAAACAGCAACTGCTGACAATCTGAGATATAAGATAAAGAATAATAATTGTATCATATCACATCTTATTGAAATAGGAATATGTGATGTCTTGTTCAAGTATCTGAAATCAATATAATGATAATGTGAATATTGTTTAGCTTCAGACAGTGTGAATCTTAATAAATGAAAAAGGTATTTTATCCTGATGTATCACAGAGAAGAAGAAAAGCACAGGTGTTAATAATTAACGCCACCATAATGGTTCCAGTAAGCTTTTACAGTGTCATTCATTTTATTATTAACACCTTTTTCTACTTTGACACCTAAAACGTCCATGAAAATACATGTACTGTCCCCTTAAAGGACCAGCCGAGGTGTTTTAGCTCTCAAATAGCAAATACTATTATATCATTATGCTGTTTTCCTGTTGTTCCATTGCTTTCTATTTATTTCTGTATGAAATGAAACGACTGCAGACGTGCAAGTTTCAAAAGTCTGTAAATACATTTTCATACAAGAAAGAGTGAAAATTGTTAGAAATGTAGATTTATAGGATGGGTTTGCAGAATGATTTTGATGCACTCTGTAGATAAATCCACAATCTGAGAACGATCTGACTAAAACTTAGACGCACTTTAATTCAAATAAGAGTGACTGAGGTGAGGTTGTAGTACAGCAGCCGTTCAGTCTAATTAAACTGTTGTTTTAAGTGTTTCTGTAATTGGAGCCTGAATTAAAATGGCAGTGGACGCTCGGTGAAAAGCAACAGCGGTCGGCACACTTTAAAATCCCGCTGTGGAGCTTGTTGAGGGGCAGGTTTCTTCCTAATAATAGCCCCCCCTGGTTCAGGTTTATTCTCCTTCCTGTCTGGGATCTGTTAGCGACAGTTGCTGCTCTCTCAGGCGGAGATGAGAGAAGGCCAAGGAGAGGTCAGAGGCCACTCAACAAGTGTTTCACATATTTACGCCTCTTCAGTCAGTTTGGTCTGGGGGGGGCAACTGGGCAGAGCAGCTGACGTGGGGGGGGGCAGGTGGGTCTGGGGTTCCCCCTTAACCTGGTTTTCAAAGCATTAAAGGGCTGCTGGTATGTGGGTGCTGTGACACTAACACCACGTCTATGTTCAGCTTGAGACCAGTTTAAAATAATGTCTGAATGTGGGTTGAGTCATCCCTGCTGATGCTGGTTACTGTAGGTCGACCGGGAAGTTAAATAGTGAACTTAAAGGACGACGGGATTCTTAAATGAAGGAATTTAACTCAAGTTTGTGTCACTGAATGTAGAAACAAGTTATTGAAATAGAAGAGAAAATAGCTTCTCTTTTACCAGTAAATCACTTAATTTTAGGATTTTAAAACCTTTTCAAACTGTTTTCAAACACTCTTTTTTCACAAATCATTTTCCAGGACCTTTCCAGGACATTTTCCAGGAGTTTTTCTTGGCAATAAAGGACCCAACCTGCTGACAGACGTCATATAAACTGCGCCTTTGGGCAAATGGCTGGAAAGCTAGTCTCTAAATTTCCAGGTTTTCCAGGACACATGCTGTTCTGTATAACAAATTATTATTTTTTAAAATATTTTAAAATATATTTATAATTGTATTAGAATTTTAAATGTAATATTTTTATTTGTTTATTTATTTCTATTTATTATTAGTGTTTTAATGTAATATATTTGTTTTTTCATTATTTATAATATATTAATTATTTGATTAGATTTTTTTAATGAATTGTCTTTTTTGGTGTATTTATTTATATTTATTTATTTTAAATCAAATATATGTATGTTTTTCATTATTTATAATTTATATATATATATTTATTTTATTTTAAAGTTATTTACTCATTTTAGACATCCATACATCCATTTATTTATGTACTATGATCTAATGTATATTATTATTTATTAATTCTGTTAATTCTGTTCCAAGTAAAATACCCAAATAAGAAGAGTTTTGGTATAAAAACCAAAACTAAGATATAAAAGACGTCATTCATTGATAAAATCAGTCACACTGAGAACAGGAAGTCAGATGAACAGTCTTAGTAAAAGTGTAAAAAAAAAAACCTCTTTGAAGTTGTCGAAGGCGGAGAGGATGATGTCGTGGCCTCCTCTCACCAGACACACGGCCGCCAGCAGCTCCAGCACCAGAGCTTTGGTCCTGAGGAACACAATCTATACGTTTATTCTTCGTCTGAATTCAGTCTGTTGATAAAGTTTCAGATCAGAGCAGCTCGATAGTTCACGCTCTCCGTACCTCGGGTTTCTGTTGTTGAGGCTCAGTGTGATCTCGTTGACACAGCAGGGATGTTTCATCACCAGGTTGAACCCAGACTGACACACACACACACACACACACACACACACACACACACAACTCATCATAGTGTCTACAGAGAGCGACACAAATGCTCATCAAAGATCTAATTTAACTTCATCAGGTGTTTAATACTTAATGGTAACTTTTATAAGACGTATTTGTTTCAGCATGATGACCTTTTGTATGGAAGCACATTTCTGCCAGGAAAATTAAACAAATATCAAATAAAAAACATAAAAAATACTAATGAGAGTCCAAATTTAGACTTTCAGTTCACAATTATGGGATAAAAAGACAGAAAAATTATTTTCTACATCAAGATTATGATATAGTAAGGAGAAATAATTAGATACTAAGTCATAATTTTGAGATAAGTCCTGGGCATCCGACAGCACATTATCTTTCAATCATATCAATAAATCACCCGGTCTGCATATTTCCACCTACGCAATATTATCGACCGCCCCCTCCCACACTGCCATCCTTGTAAACCTTGCACCCCGCATCACTACTGCAACTCCCTTCTTGGTCTACCTACAAAACCTCATAAACTTCAACTGGTTCAGAACTCACAGAACCCCCCATCCACACAACCCCTGTTCTACACAACTCACGGCTCCCGGTAAAACTCGCATGACTTCAAAATCCTCCTGTTTACGTTCAAGGCCATCACAACCTCTCCCCTCCTTATCTGTAAGAACTCCTAGCCAACCCTTCCCGTTCCCTCAGATTGCCTCTCTGTCCACCTCTGCCCTCGCCGCGACATGGGGCAGGGCTTCAGCCGCTTGCCCCCAACTCGGAACACCACGGACCAGGAACCGGACTCTCTCACACTCTAAATCAATGTACGGTGTCCTCGAGGCCCAGAGGCGCCTCAATAATTTAATGTATTATTATTATTATTATATATATATTTGACACTGATCTTAAAATTCTGACTTAATATTTTGATTAGGAAAGTCAAAAGTCAGAATGTGGACTTTGTATCTGATAATATTGACTTAGAAAGTCACATTTAAACTAATTTACTAACTCATAAATATGACGGTCTCCTAATTTTGACCTTAAGTGATTTTTTTTTTGTGTATCTTGATTATGTAAAGCCCAAACTTGTGACTTTGTATCTGATAATCTTCACCCAGAAAGTACATTTCCTGCCTTTATATCCTAATAGATACTTTGTATCTCATTAATAGTTTTATTAGTTTTAAAATTTTCCTGGCAGAAATGGTGCTCCATACAAAAAGCCATCCATGATGAAACAAAGTAGTTTCTTTACAACATGACGAGCAGCTGGTTTTAAATACCTGATAGTTCATGATGGCACGTAAACACATGATGCAGAGGTGAACGTCGTCCGTCTGACTCACAACACGAGAGCTCCTCAAGGCTTTCCTGTTTCAGAGAGAATTAACTGAAGCGTTAAAATATTTTATTGTATTGTGATTGTGTGTTTTTGGATCAGACACAATCGATTTATCAATCATCATTTCTCACATTACAGGACACTGACGCAGACAAACAGGAAGCTCCCTCTTATCTAATCATAGGTTGGTGTGTGTCTCACTTCACACGCAGACAAAGTTACTATGACAAGAATGCTTCAGATCAGATTTCTAAGAATGTGTGTGTGTGTGTGTGTGCGTGTGTGCGTGTGTGTGTGTGTGTGTGTGCGTGTGTGCGTGTGTGAGTGTCTTACAACTTCATTTGCAGTGTGACATCAACTCAAAGTCGTGCTGTAATTTGCTGTCAGCACATATAAAATTATTTTCTGACTTTAACAGTTCAGACAAACAATTTTATGTCCTAATTTTTATTAATATTTTATATTTTTAAATTATATTTATAATTGTATTAGAATTTTTAAATGTAATAATTTTTATTTGTTTATTTATTTTTATTTATTATTAGTGTTTTAATGTAATATATTTGTTTTTTCGTTATTTATAATATATTTTTTATTTGTTTTTTTAATTAATTGTCTTTTTTGGTGTATTTATTTATTTTAAATCAAATATATATATTCATTTTCATTATTTCTAATATATATATATTTATTTTATTTTAAAGTTATTTACTCATTTTATACACCCATACATCCATTTATTTATGTACTATGATCTAACGTATATTAATTAATTCTGTAATAGCTTAATATAGTATATAAATAAATAAATAATAAATAAATATTAGTACTCATTTCGCCCTTGAAATTAAAATCTTGGCCTCAATGTGACGAACAAAATTAAACTTAAAGATCAAACTAAAGCTTAGCTCAATTCAACAGAATAAAAGTTTTAATAAATTGTCTAATAATAGTTTCCCCCATACTGAAGTATATTTTTCAGTCTCTTTATTGACCACAGACAAGCCATTATTTTAAAGCACATGTCTGCTACTGTTACATATCATATAATGCTGATTCAGCTCAGTCAGACCTTTCTAACTAACCCTGGTTGGTGTTTGTGGGACAATCCCAGCCAAAGCTACCTTAAAGTAACTTAATACATTCATCATAGAGCCTCATATTTGATATTTCCTCCTGTTGTACATCTGTATTTGTAGTCCTGTATTTCCTCAAAGCATCAAGATATTCACATTCTGTTTGTTCAGACATGTAGAGGAAGACCTTGTCCACTTCCACACCACATAGGGGATCAATCAGAGCTTGGATTATGGAATTATGAGTTCAGGTGTATCATTGGATCTGGCTTTATTGTGCACTGATTTTATTTATGGGGTGTGTCACATTATCTGTCAGTGAAAAACATTGTTGTGTTTTGTTCTACCTCCGTTAGGGTATCTCAGGATTAATTCCACTAGCCTAGTTGGTTTATTAAGTTAACTCCTTCACATGCAACCGTCACACAGTCCCGCCTCACCTGACTGTGAAGGCCTTACTGGCCTTCGAGGCACTGTGAGTAGGCGAGTTACTGGCACTTCTGCTCAGATCCTCCGCTGACTTGTCCGTAGCTTTGCTTTTGTCTGCGGGCAGCGAGCCGTTGTCCAAAGAGTCTGCGTCATACCTGCGGGCCACAGAATCAGTTCACTCTCATACAAATGTAGCACATGGAGGTATGCAGGAGATCGGTTGATACAGTGGCGGGAAGCGGTTGTGTGAGGGAGATAAGACGGACAGAGTTGAGACCTGACAAATACTGCTGATACATACGTGACAGCGCTGTGGGCGAAGGACAGATAGTCCACAAGAACATCTAAGCCTTGGTTCTCCTCGTTCAGGAACTCCTCAGCCCAGCTGCACGGAGAGAGGACATTTGGACTCAGTGGCACAGCTGGAAACAGTAACACTAACATTTTAAGATTTAAAAATTACACTTATTCTCAAGGTCTGCCCCCCCAACAGTCGACTAAACTGAAGAGTCTTCTGCTGCATTCAGGTGGAATCAGGCAAACCGGATGTCATCCATCCATTTTACTTGACAGTTTTTGTTTAAAGTGTGAAGTTTAAGTTTTAAATTCTTGACACTGTTGTTTATTGTGTTCCCATGCAGATAAAAGTCTTTACAATTACAGTCTTAAATGCTTCAGTTAAACACTGTTCTTGTGACTGTTATTCACTGCGCTGTCCAGTGATTATGTCGTTTTTATTTTAAGATTTTGTCCGAATTTATGATCTCAATTCTTTAATTTGTGTTAAATAATCAGCTTAAAAAAAAGTCTTAAAAAAAAGTCTTATGTTTCTGAACGGGAACCAGAGTGAGACTCACCCGATATAATTGGTCCTCAGGGAAATCTCCAACTCTCTAAGGATCTGAGTGGATTCCTGGACACGTCTCTTAAACTGAGGAAACACACGAATCAGGTCGGAAGGTCAGTAAATGATTAATTGGTAAGAAAATGTAAAAGATGCCACGACATTTATTTGTAGGACTTAATAGACAATCATATAAAAACGGCTTCCTGCGAGAGAAACAAACACTGTGAACAGATTAAATGAAAGGAGGGAAAATAAGAAACCACATTGTTTCTTCACTGTGTCAAATAAAGTTCAAATATTTACTGCTGCTGCTACAAGCTGCAGTTACACAAGAGAAGACAAGAAGTCTGAGCAGTCCTCTGCAGCACTGGGTCCCAACCTTTTTCCTTTGCCCATTTTATATTATTTATTAAACTGACTCAGTGACATATTTAATGTATATTTCATATTATATTACAAACAGTGAACTCAGTAACTGCAGGATGTTTGTGTAAAACCAGAGATTTGGATGAATTTTGAGCAGATATTGATACAATTCAGTCTGTATTATGGATTTTTATCCATTTTTAACAATCATACAAACTTAATAGGCTTCTTTTTTCAGTTTTAATCCTTTTTTTTTAACGATACAGAGTTTTTGATGAAGTGACGCAGGTTCATTACAGGTAGGTGGTTTATCCACGTTAGCTCGCTTTAATGGCCGCTGGAAGTAGGGTTGCTAAAATGTGTTCATGACAACATTTTAAACTTATGACTTTCTCCTTTTTTACTGGGATTTACACAGTGCACAGTGAGTTCTGGCAGGGAAGAGGTTTGTTTGTTATCAGTTTTGTTTGCTAAAAAGTATTAAAACTTGTGTAAAATGTTGTTAGTAACTAATAAATAGGCCATAAATGATCCCAGCAATTCAAATTAACGCAAAAAAACCATGAATGTCATGCATTTAGCATTTAATATGTCATCTTTATATAGAAATATTTGATCACTTTAAATCATTTTCCAAGTGTTTCTGCGACTAGAAAACTAGTCTCTAAATATCCAGACTAGGATGTGTATTGACTTTATATGGCACTATATGAGCCTCCTCCTTTTATCAGAATATTATCTGTAGTCCACATCCGGGCTGTAGCTAGACGTCTCACTTGACCTAATCTCTTCCAAATATGTGAGTAAATGTTAAAGATCAGATCTGCCGGCCGGTATCGACTATATTAAAGCTCTGCCACAGAAAGATAAAGAATTTTATCAACATATTTCAGGAATTACTGCGATAAGAGCTTTTAGTTATTTAAGTTATTTCATAAATTCAACTTTAAACCGAGCTGTGGGTTGAGTCTGTTTGTACCTTTCGACTGACTCCTCCGTGATCCAGGTAACTCTTCAGCTTCTCCAAATAAGCCGATGGTGGATTCTTCACTTGAAACCTCTCCTGAAGATGCAGAGAAACACACACACACACACACACACAGACCTCTAATTATATTTGATTGCAGTACTGCAGCGCGGGGAAGGGGGCCCCGGAGGGCAGGGCTCAGCCGGGGTTTCACACAGGCACTTTGATTACACAGCGTCTTGTATGCAAATGGTTTGATCTCAACCATTTTCCTGAAATGAGTGAACTGTGGAGCGGTTACACTCACACACAGTCCGGCTGCTGCAGACTCACTCACGCTCTTTAATTGAATCTATTCTGTCAGTTTTTGAAATCTGCGGGAACGTTTGGTTTCCATTTTTGTGCAATTTGAATTATTTTTCTCTGAAGAGAAGCTGAGTGAGCCTCAGTTCGATGGGGACAGGTGTCCTCTGTCAAGCTCCCATCATGACGCAGGGTGTTATGGGCCTCCCTGTTGTTACTACGGTGATGTACAATATTAATGAGCTTCCTTGTGTGTTTGTGTTTGTGAGGATTGGAGCGGTTTGGTATTTACACTGCTCACACTGTATGTCCGCCGCCCATAAAACATGTGGTGGCAGCGGTGGAGGAAAACATAAGGAAGATGTGGAGAGAGCAGACCCACCTGGTCACAGATCAGGTCCCACTTCTTCTCGTTGTCATACTGACTGAGGATCTTCACCTTGTCTGGAGGGAGATTCATCGTGTTCTGGAAACAGAGACACAGCCTTGAAAGTAAAACGTGAACCTATGCATGACAGAAAAGATATATTATCTATTCATTATTTCTCAGGTTTGGCAAAAAGAAGTTCAACTGAAATCACTAAAGTCTCTAAAAAAACTTTTACTAAAACTATTACTATTACTGAAATGAACAAAAAAAGTCTTAAAAAAGCTCCTTTAGCCTTCAACCCTGAGGGGAACATAGACTGTATAGGCTTGGTAGGTTGTGAAGCTCAGTGTGGCCGGGCAGCGTGGGTAGAGTTGTTAGGGGCTGAATGAAGCCTGGTTACTAAAAACATCCACCCTGCTGTCACTCAAAGCGGCCACACCCTTAATCATGTATAACTTTAAGCTTTAATATTCGAGGAACTGCCATTTTTTCCCCGCCCCTGCCCCTCAAACAGCCTGAGTCCGCCACCGGACGGGAGGGAATGCCCTTAAAACAAAGGAATATTACATATATCTTTATATATACCTTAGGTAGTGTTTTTTCCTTAAAACAGATACGTACTGTATTCTGTAGCAGAAAAATAAAAGTCTTACCACGTATCTGTACCCGAGTATGCAGCCTAATCTATATTCTGTTATTTGTAACAGGATTAGTTGTGCTAAAGTATAATTCCTGTACCTACAAACTCCCTCGTTATCCCTGTCCTAGAAACAACATGACAACAGACACATAAACAATAACACATGGCTCGCAGTGTGAATGACCTCATTGTCCTCTCTGAGTCAGACGTCCAGTCCTGAGTCACTCTGTGAGTCTTTGTTTCTTATGGAAGCATTAATCAGCTCTGTGTTAGTGTCTGCTGTCACAACTAAGGTTACTAATGTTCACTAAAACTAAACTAAATACACTAAAACTAAGTGTGAAAAATATTTTAATTAACTGAAATAAGAATAATTGTTAGACTTGAACTACAAACTGTGTTTGTCCTGTAATAACAGTTCTGAACTTCTTCAATCTTGTAACTGACATTCCCAACCTTTTTCCTTAAGGGACATTTTCTATCATTTAACAATCTGACTCAGTGACATATTTTATGTATATTTCATATTATATTAAAAACTGAAGAATGAATCCAAACAGTGAACTCAGTAACTGCAGGAAGTTTGTGTAAAGCCAGTGATTTGAATGAATTCTGAGCAGATTATTTCCTGTTTAGGGAACTTTTTATACAATTCTCTGTCTGTATTATGTATTTTTTTATTATTTTATTTTCTTCTCCTCGATGTTTGACCATTGTTCTATTACAAAATTTACTTTACTTTTCTTCATTTCTTCTTCAAACGCTGAGATATCAGCCTACTGTGTATATTGTTTAAGTTTTCTTACACCCCTTAAAATTAAGACGACCTTGCGACCCCCTGTGAAGCTTTGGCGACCCCTAGTGGGGGTCCCTACCCCCAGGTTGTGAACCACTGCTCTATAATATAATAAAAAGAAACTAAAACTAAGACTGAAACTAATAAAAACTAAATTAAACATTTTGACACAACAGAAACTAAGGACTGAAACAGAACTGAAACTTTATACTTTATTCGTGCATGTAAATTCTGAATTTGTTTTGGAAAAACGCCGGCTGATCCGGCTCTCCGATACCGACGCACGCCACCGAACGAGTAATGAGCCAGAAACTCTCGCTGTGGTCAAATTTGTGTGCGTGGATGATAACAAACTGCAGAATGCAAACTCAACCCTGCTGTCCTTCATTCTCCTCATTAGGTTTCTGAAAATAAAAGATTCTCATCACACATTTCACACCCGTTAATGCACTGCTGGTGTCCCATATAATAAACACATCAGCTGTGCTAATTTTAACCCACACACACACGAAACTGGGCTAGTCGACAGGAGACACCCACTCAAGGACGATACACGATCTCCTCACTTTGCTTAAATGCTTCACATCCTCCTCATATCCAACCTCCTTCCTGTCCGCCCTCACACCTCCTGCTCTCGACTCAGCAACCTGAAGCGTCCATCGCGAGGTCAGCGAGAGCGTGGAGTCACCAACTGTGACTCAGCCTGCTCGGGAATGTCCAGCAGTGGTTACTTAGTGGTGATCTGCTGCGTTCTTTACCTCCAGAGCCTCAGAGATTAAACCTCCAGCTGAACCACAGAACCAGTTTTTACATCTGAGTTTGGTTCTTTTATTAAATAAGTTCCTCGCTGTAAAAAAGTTGAGAAAACTCAGGATTTCAAGGCTCAAGTCAAACTCTTAAGTTATGAAATAAGCTAATTATAATAATGATAATTTAGTTTTCTTCGTTAGAAAAACTTCAATATAACATCTGCATTTTAGAATTTAATATATATGATTCATATGTTGATTGATAATATAAATAATTTAATATCTTTAATTGCAACTTTTTCAAAGCTCATTAAAAGAACAGTAAGTAAAAAAAGAATCAAAGATTTAAGTTTTTCTAAAGAAAAAAAGTAAATTATTTTAACAAAAATATTAGAGGTCAACAGAACTTTTTTAAATTAAAATGTAAAAGCTCTCAAGAAGACAGTTTAATTATTTCAATTAGGAGTTGTTGTTTTTTTTTTTTTACAGTTTTTATAGTGCTGTTTCTTTTTAATATGCTTGTTTTTAAAGTGGTGAAACGCCTCAATCACTGCAGAATATCTGGAGATGTAGAGATATAACTTTGGAAATACTTATTGTATCCGTTCCTGGGGTGAAAGCTGAGGCACAGCACATGGAAAAATACTGTGTGGACGTCATTTGTGCCGTGCTGAAAGAACAGGGGCACAGCAAATTCCAAATAGCACAGTAAAATCAATGTTGTTGTGAGGCTGGATGTGAATCTGATAAATCAGGCCTGATGAACGGAGCCGCTGGGTCGATACGGGCTGGGTATACTCAGCCTGATGGATCACTATTAAACAGCACAAATGGAAAAGAAAAACAACCCTGGTTTACTCTTCTACAGAAAAGGTTTAAAAAACAAACAACTTTTACTTTAAATCTTAAAGGTTATATATGAAATATACTGGATGTCACACTATAGACCATGTAAGACCAAAACATTCGGACAGAAGTAAATCAGTCACTAAAACCAGTTAAATGTGAAATGGCTCCATTGGTTGCAACGTAAGCTAATGTTAATCCTTATTTTGTCTAGTATGTCCAATAAAATGTGTTGTTTTTACTGACAGACTCAGGTTGTTATTGTCAGTGTCTGACAGAATTATGGAAAGGATCCCTACAGAGATAGACCTTTAGTTTAACCACAAACAGGCAGAATCACTTTCCACCAGACTCCAATAAAAAAAACACTCATTTTAACTCACTTATCATTAAAACGTCGTAACTTCATTCAAAGTGGACAGAAACAGAATAAAACTGATTAAAAGCGTCTCTGTTAGTGTTTCCAAAAATCACCAACTCTGGTTTGGTGGAAATAAATCCTTAATTCACCGACGTAGATGATAAAAACAGCCGTTTCAGTCGGAGCAGACCGACTGTGGAAACAAACCACAGAGAGGCTGCGATACAACACAGGCAGAGGGAGAGAGACACCATGTGACTCTGTGTCTTTACACAGAGAATCGCTGTTAGCTGATATATTAATGTATTAAATCTCACATTCTTTGAGTATTTCTCTGTAACATTAAACTTGGCTAGAAAAGGGACAATCACCTTTAAAAAACACGTCTTTAAGTGTTAATTATTCGAGTTTAATACTCAAAAACTCAACCTAATCGGGACTTTGTGGATGTGGTTTGATCACCTTTGATTGACAGTAACGAAATTACCACCAACTCTGATTGAAATCTTGCTAAACTCTGTAAAAACATCTTGTTACAGCAGTATACTTTGTACAGTACGTGATACTGATCTGTTGATCTGCCATATGTTACCAATACGAAGAAGATGTTGGTGCAGGAATAACATTCAGCCGTTTCCAGTGACACAAAAAAAAAAAATTTTCTTACGTGTTCAGAGCCAGAATCAGCCAGCTGGTATTTTGCACAGCTGTTCGCTATAAAAAGAGAAAGTCTTAAAGGTTATCAGCTCGTCCCATTTATGTCCCGACACAAACGAGAACATTGCTGCACTGAATCTGTTTTTTACATGAACAATTACACAGACAAAGCACCTGACCCAGAGGAGTGCACTTCAGCATCAAATGTCAGCATCTAATCAGGTAATCACATCGTTCACTGGTGCATTGTCGAGGAGGCTGGGCCCGCTGTGATGGGGACAGCGGGGAGCCGTGTTTTTGTAACGACGATGTCAAATACAAGCTGTGAGGCAAATAGTTCTCAAAGTTCCACAATTTTAACGAGTTTAATTTTCATCTCTGGCTCGCCGGTGGCTGCGTGTCCTTTGTGGATCGTTTTATAAGACGCGCCAAGTGTGAGGGCATGTGGTTGTTCTTGTCACACTCAAACTGGCACTCTCTCCATGACAACCTGCACAATAATTGCCTCAGTGTTTTCCAGGCTTACACAAACCCTCTAACTCTGCTTTAAATAAGCTGATTTAAGTGGCATTAAAAAGTAAAATGAGTGACCTTTACACCGGACATTAACATATATGCAAAGCGACCGAACGGCAGCGACTCGAGGTTCATTTCAATAACGCAGAATTAATGTGATGCATCATGTAAAACAACACAGGAACACAGTTGGGAACTCAAGAAGGCAGCGGGAAGCGTGAGACAATGTGTTGACTTCAGCAGACAATAGTGGGACATTTTTGTGTCTCTGAGTGATGCATTCCTGAATTCCTAAACATGCTGACTATCCCAAAAAAAAGACGGATCAATGGAATCGTCTCGTTCAGAGAAACAAGCTGTGTTTGCAGCAAAAGGCTGAACTCAAACGTGCTTTACATAAAAATACTGTGCGACTCCTTAGTTCATCCTCAGGGCTCCGTTATGTAAAATTGTGTTTTTGTTTTAGCATGAAGGGAAACTACAACCTGAATTTCATTATACAACCCTGCATTGTAAAATGACAATTAAAAT